GTCCTTGAGCTGTGTAGCACATTAACTTAACCAGTTTGGGGGCTGACAGGCTGCTTTTACTAAAAGTACTGACTCTTCACTTAGACCTGTAGATGTCTGAGGAGTAATGGAAAGTAGGATTAAAGTTTGGCATCTCTGCCTGTATTTTGCATCCGTCTTTTTTGCTCTTTTAAACTTTGGGTCAGATCCCTACACCACTCTGCACACAGATGTGTTAGTCATTTAAAGAGTGTTCCTCTAGGGCTGGCTTTAGCCCAGCAGTTCCTTCGAGTCTGGCTTCCCAACCGCCCGGGCCCATTGGTCCGGTGGTTCGAGACCCGCGGGCACTGTCCAGTCCTTTAAAAAAAAAAAAAAAAAGTGTTCCTCTAAAACTGATCAACCTCTCTCTTTGTGTCCAAAGTCACCAAGCTAGGAGTTCAACATTTGCTGGAACATCAAATGCAGCAGATTATCAACTGCCAATGTTTGCAACCCCCTGTTCTAGAATGTTACCCATCTTAGGGCAAAACCCCCTGCTCTAGAGGTCCCAACACACTAGGCTCTGTCACCCTCCAACAGAGCAATTAAGGAGATGAGCAAGGGTAATGAGCAGAAAGGGACTTTGATGGGTACACCCACACCAGGATGAACAGAGGAAGAGGTTTAGTGACTTAAGACCCTTACTGGCCATTCGGGTTCCTATATTTAGATTGGTGTGTTTGCTGCGGGTGAAAACAAAGGAGGCCATTTATTTTGGTAAAAAGGAAAAAGAATTTATTCAAAGCTAGCTCCAGGGGCTGGGGATTTAGCTCAGAGGCATAAGCACCTGCCTTGCAAGCAGGCGGTCATGAGTTCGATCCCCAGTACCGACAAAAATGAAAAAGACAAAAAAAAAAAAAAAAGCTAGCTCCAAGGAGATGTAAGGGTCCATTCATTTCAGATCACCATCCTACCCTGTACAGGTGTGAAAGGGTTTATTACAGCAAGTTTGTCTCTTCCCTTCCTGGTTCTCACCTGGTCCTTCCTAGCCTTTGGAAATGAAGCCGGACTCTGGCCTCCTGGTGAGAGCACATGCATGTCTCTGTTTTATCTGGGCTGAGGATGGGGTGGCCATCCATGCCCCACACCTCAGGAAGCCTGGAAAAGCCACTTTTTTCTAAAAAAAATCCAGCTCTTCAAGTTTCATTTTGGCACACTGGCCACAGTTCACACTGCACCCAAGTCCAGCCCACAGTCTTGAGGGCCTTAAGGAACCGCATCTGCTGGCTAGCTGGCTCGTGTTGGGTTGGTGCATCATCTGTTCCACGAAAGGTAGCTGGAGCATAAGCAAAGGGAAGCCGGATGCTTGAACTTAAAAGAATATCAGTAAAAATTGTGAAATCAAGTACAAAAGCTAAAAACAGGAGCTAGCTAACGGCTACACATGCTAGAAGTGCTTTCTGCAGAGGTTTTTCCTAATCTTGCAGCTCTGTTTTTAATAGGGTTGACATACACGACTCTTTCAAGGTTATAACTTCCTCCTGTTGTCTGTTTTCTATTCTGAAGGCTTTACCAATTAACCATTTGTAGCCAGGGGTGCCAAGGTACCATTCCCTGGTGATGTCAGCCTCCAGCATGCAGACACCCTCAGCACATTTCCTCCTCCTACTCTGGCTGACCATCATAAGCCCATCTTGTAATTTCTTATAATTTGTATATCTTGTGTTATATCTGTTTCTCCAGTAAAACCCTAGTGCAGTTATACTGAACTACTAGGTAGTAGGTCACATGGTAAGTGCTCGTGGAAAGAATAAAGATTTTTTTAAGAAGGGATAGATCTGGAGGTGTTGGTCACTCACCAGGGCAACTGATGTTTAAGTAGACTTTATTGGATCAAGTGTTCTTGTTCTTTGGGAAAGTATAAAGGCCTGATTGTTTCATCTTTATCTTAAGGCCTGGTCTCCAGCAAATGGGCCTCCCCCACAGTTGAAAGTGTTCTCATCTTCTGCACTGACTTCCCTGAGGGGCTAGCCCTATGTGACTGACTGCAAAATTTCCAGCTAACTTAGCTGTCTACCACACTTTCATCTCTCATGCTGTAAACGACTTCATTAGTGCCACTTGCCCACTTTTGTGAGGAGAGGAATACAGGGAATTGAATCCAGCCAGGGCCTTCACACTGAGCTTCATCCAGCCCCTTTGGATTTTGAAACTGTCTTCCTAAACCACCAAATCACCCAGTTTGGGCTCCAACTTTTGATTCCTCTGCCTCAGTCTTCCAGCATGATGAGAGATTACAGGTGTGGCTCATAATGCCCAGCTTTTCCACATTTTTACTGATTGTTTAAAAATTGGAATGGTCTCTAGCACAACTCTAGGAAGGACCTGCTGCTGCTTGATAAGCATAGAAGTCAATGCTGTGACAGTCTGCAAAACAAAATAGTTTTATTGTGCAGCTGGGCCAGCAAGGAGGCCAGAAGCTAAAAATTCAAAATCTACCTACCTGACCAGTCTTGGTAGTGGAGGAATTCACAGGAAGGTAAGGGGAGAAGCTGTTGGATGGATGACAAGAAGGCATCTATGTCTATGTGACAGGGAGTAGTTATGTCCTGTAGAGGTGATGTTGTTGACCGTGATGACAAGCTGGCTTTTCTGTTCAAATTTGTTCTTGAAAAGCCAGTTCCAGCTCCTTAGAAGCTGCTATAAAATGCCTAGGGCTTACCCTCAGAGACAAATAAAGGAATTTCTCTCTGGCACCTGGAGCCCCCCATCCCTGCTGATTTCACAAGTAAGTGTTCCTAATTCAAATGATGTAATTTAGACAGAAACTTAAATTGCCAGATAAGATTCCTCCCCACCACCAGGGATCGAACTCTCGATATCTTGCTAACCAGGCAGGTGCTTATATCACTGAGCTAAATCCCAGCCCCAAATAAAATTTATTTAGTTATGGATTGTAGTGCCCTCAGCGTCAGCCCTCAGTTCAGTGTTAATTAGCAATAAAATAAGAAATCTTTAAATACTTTAAATAGCAATACCCATAAAAACAAATTATGTACTGATTGGATCATCACCTGATTAGAGGCCCATAGGAACGCAACCCTGTATTTCCTTTATGACTAAGTAGTCATTAATTCAGTGTTCCCAGCAACTTTATAGAGCCTAAACACTATGAAGAATGAGAACAACTATACAATGAGGGAAAAGTAATTTTCAAACTCAAAACAAGGAAACTCACAAGTTTCCAAGAAAACTCTTTCGGTCTTCTACCAAATACCCCAGAAAATCAGTAATCCTGTCTCCCCTCTCCACTTTATTCTCTTTCAGTGTTCTCTCTCACTCTTCCCTTCAATAATTGTTACAGGAAGCTGAGCTAGTTAGAAATATTCTAGGCAGTCAGACAGGGCTGCCTCAAAGGAGCCAGTGTAGAAGTTCAGATACCTTGCAGCCTTGGAAGAGACAATCACCTCCTATTCGAGCAAGATCTCAAGACAAAAGGCAAAGCAAATACAACCACATCCGAAGGATTAACAGTTCAAATAGGTCTCTGTCACTGTGAGGAAGTCAGGTGCCAGCATCCCCCCGTACTACAGGAAGGGTCTCTGCTGTTAAGTTTGCCCTTTTACTACGTGACTTGCTCTCCTATTTGTTCCTAATTTAATCAATTTTACCTGAGCAATTAATCTTATTGGTTGACCACAGTTCTGTCCCACCTTACGTCCACCTTGAGTCCATCTCACTCAATGATTTTGCTCTATAAAAGTCCCTAGAAAAGACAGAGTCTCTGGCAACCCACTCGGGACCGCTCGCTCTCTCTCAGGCAGAAGCTTTTTTTCTCTCAATAAATATATTCCCTTGTTCCTAAAATTCATTCTTCGATTTTAGAGAACATATAGTAGGACATAGGTAGGGAGTTTCATTCCCCTATATCATAATGTTTTCCAAAAACCTATAATTTTACACTAGATTTGACAGTGATGGATCCTCAACATGTGGGTGCATTTTCCCAAAATCCGTGAGACACAGTTCCACAGGAACCCAGGGAAGAATATTTTCTTAATTTGAAAATTTCACTTTTGAATCTTCCCATTATATTAAGAAAAAGGTAAAATTACATACATTATATATAATGTATAAAAATACATTTTCGCTCCCACTATATTATTGAGGTAAAATTACATCACCTATAGTCTATCTATATCTGTGATCTTAGCTCTCATACACTAACCTGCCCATAGTTCTTAATAAAGTTGCCCATTCATTTGTTTCTGTGAGTATAAAACTCAGGTCGGGAATCTTGCCCTATTTGGAAATGGTCGCCCGGCTTCACACACACACCGTGCGCATGCTCTGTGATCGCAGGGTGGAGTTTTCTGAAAGGGTTCAGAGCCGCTCCCTGGGCAAGATGGCGGCGGGACTGCAGCTCCCAGCATCCCTTGCAGCCGAGCCGGGAGCCGGGACTCCGAGCGATGGGGACCCTGGGGAGATTTAGGCTGGCAAGCGTGCTGTAAAGGCTGTGGCCGAGCCCGGCCCCTGGGAATCCGACCCCCGCGGCGGGGAAGATGGAAGCGTGGCGATGTGTGAGGAGGGGCTACGGCCGCTGTGTGGTGGGAAGAGGCCGGTCAGTAGGGCAGTGGCCGGAGGAGGAGGAATGGGCGGGCGGCCTCAGGGCCGGGGCGGGGCGGGCGCGGCGGATGGAGGCGGAAGAGGGTCCGGGACGCGGCCGCGGAGACCCCGAGGGACCGAAGGACCCGAGACTCGCGCGCCCGCCTGCGCGGCCCGTCGTTCTGAGGCCGCGCGCGCCCTCGGCCCTACAGCGCCCCGGGCCTGGGCTCCGGGCTATGTGGTTTGTGGTTGTCCTCGTGTCCCGCTCTGCTTCCCTGCGCGCCCCCTTCGCTACCTACGAGCTCCTGTTGCGTCCGTGTGGATGCGTTGGCGGGTTTTGTTTAAATTGATCGCTAAAAAAAAAAAGCACTCTGTGCTACCTACATTAACGTCACCCTAAAGGGCGCTCGCAAAATCTTGGACTTGAGGTTTCCATCCTAATAAACTTTTAAGTATTTGAATGCTAAAAATCAAAAAAGTTAAATTGTGTGACCTGTGCAATCTACGGGTTGGAGCACGGCGCTGTTACATAAGTCATGGGAATCTGCTTTGAGTCCCGAGGGCCTGGGGCGAGGTGGACGTTGAGGTCCCAGGGTTTCCTGGGCGCCGGCTGCGTGCAAGACACTGTGCGAGGCCGTGGGGAAGGGACCAGAAAGGAAATAAGACGCGGGGCCCGAAGGAGCGCAAAGACATCAGGATAGACCACTGTCACATACAAAGAATAAGTGTTAGGTCTGTTGTATTCCATAGTTCTGTATTTCAATATGATAGTTGAAGTTTTCTATTTGAACATGGTAGCTTTTTAGGATAGAAAATGCGGACCATGAGCTTCAACCCGATTGGCTTTTAGAATTGTCACGAAGCTGGACAGAGTGCCCATGTCATGCCTTTAAAGCTTTATGATTAAATTGTTTTTGTAGAACAATTTTAGACTACACTGCAAAGACGTGATAAAAATTTAAACGCTGTCAGAATGAGCAATCATACATAAAAGTCAGGTAACAATATCTGCAATTTAACAAAATCCAGTTGGTGAGACAAGTGGACGTTATTGACACCATCTGTGAGATGTACTGGTGATGAATTCCAGAGGAGAGGCTAAGAAATCCATCTCTGCATCCTAACATTTTGCCAAAATAGTACAGTACGGTGGCCCTTAAGCTTCAGTGTTTTTTGGGAGCTCGGTGGCAGCATAGCTATTAAAAATAGCCTTAGCACTACTTTGTGGGTATTTGGAATACTGGGTAAATTGATGGTGTTGGATCCGGAGTGTTAAGTTCGCAGTGAGTAATGCCTACCCTGTTTCATTTACTCCGGAGAAGAACCTACTTTGAGAAAGAGGAGTCCACCCAATGATTAGCAAAGGAAGTTGCTTTGTGAAGTAATGATAAACGTTGTTAAAAGTGTTAGGGGAAAATCTAATCTTAGCGGAAGACAAAACTGTTCAGAAACATTTTTATTCCCATTCCAGGGCTGAAGGAAAGATTTGCTTTAATTGTAGTCCGGTGTGTGTACTGCATCGCAGTATTAATATTTGCTGTGGCTTACAGTTTTCCATTGAGGTTTTGGTGCTACAGAGCTACTGTGAACACTCACTGAATGGTTGGTTGGTAGCTCTGCTGGGCTGTGGACTATTGGAGGAGTAGGTGGCATTTGGGAGCCTTGGTGGCATTTTCCTGTTGAGTATTTAGAATACCATTTGAAGGTGTTTAAGGGGAGAGGATTGAGGTGTTGATGCTGAAAGCTAAACTGTGGGTGCTTTCCTCTCCATCCTTCATAGATTTACAAGTCAGATTTTAAGTATTAGATGAAGTGGTTGTAGATTTTTGTGTACTATGGTTGGACAGAGAGTGTTGCCTCAAGGAGTATGTTTATTTCTTTTAGATACTCTATGTTTCCCCATCACCCCAAGAGTCTGGGCGGAGACTGGACTACACCGTGGGAGAATCTGCAGCGGTGTTGCTGGAACAGACATATTTCTAGTTGCATGAGGTGGCCAGGACACTATTCTCGTGCCCCCTACCCATACTTCAGTAGCAGGTATTTCGCACTGAAGTGGAGGCCACCTTATTTGTTTGCGTCTAGAACTCAGTTTCCGTACTATACCTGGAGACCTGACCACCTGAACCAGACATCCCTGATTCATCTGTCTAGTTACGTCATGAACACAGAGGGAGATGAGCCTTCGTCAAAGCGAAGAAAGCACCAAGGTAAAAGTGATGGTCATCTTAGTGAAGGGCTAGACATAAATGATAGACTTAGAGGTTTCATGTTGAATCCTTAAAAGCCTCCTGTAGGTGCCACGGGTGTTCGGTGTTAGGAAAAAAGAAATTGGTTTTGAAATGAAATCTTTACTTTTGTTTTCAGTGGTATATTTCTGGCTACAGATCTAAGAAGTGACTGTACAAGTGGAATATGGTTGGAAAAGAATATAGAAAATAGATTGAAACCCTAACTTTAAGAACAATTTTCATATCCAGTATTTTTACACTGAAGTCTTTTGATGACTTAGAAGTCAATGAATGTATTCTTGGAAGTCAATGATCTGAAATAATTTAATTTTGTGTTTTGATGTTTGTTAACTTTTTTATCCCAACCTGGTAGTGCATACCTGTATACCCAGCTACTCGGGAGGTTGAGGCATGAGGATTCACTGTCAACCTGGGCAATTTAATAAGACTCTGTTTTTTAAAACAAGAACTGAAAGCATAACTCAGTAGTAGAGTGGTTGCCTAGCATGTGCAAGGCCCTGGGTTCAATCACCTGTACTAACAAAGAGAATTCTTTTAAGTAGAAATGATCATAAGTGAAAGATTTTCCCTCAGAGTAAAATTTTAGTTTATTAAATCTGTATTTCTCAAATGGAGGTCCATAGGTAGACCATCGAGTCTGTTGGAAGAATTATCTTTTAGGAAAGGAATCACATCATATTCAACTTTTTTTGCATATTCTACTTTGAGAAACAGTTTTAAAATATGAAGACTACGTCTGTTTTTTCTCGTATTCTTTTTACTCTATAAACAATTCACTTGGCTCCTTCCATGCCCGCCCCTGCTCATATCTGCACCCACTCCAGCCCCTCGAAACTCTAAGCGTAAGTAGAATTTGGACTTGGCTTTCTTACCGAGTCGTCGCTTCCAGTGACGGTAATGCCATTCAGGATAGTTGAGAGCGGGCTGCGGGGGAAGGCATCAAAGAGGACTCGGAGAGGGAGTCTCAGCCAGAATGTAGAGCTGGAGGGCGAGCACAGACAGCTGGGTTCCTGACACAATCACTGAACTAATATTCCAGTAAATGTGTAATATATTGCTATACAGTTACAAGAATTTAGGGAAAAAGGCATGTAAGGAGAGATTATAGTCACTCAAAAAGTAAAAGTCTGTTGCATAGCGCTTAACCATTGCCCATGGGGATGGTGGGTGGAAGGTGTGTTTGGAAGCTTTAAAATCAGACCCAGTAGGCATTCATGATCCGAAAGCCCAGATCTGCGCGACAGCCTCAGACTGTGCTTCACTTCCGTGTCCGCTGTTCCTCGGGTCAGGGTGCACCTCCCCTCCGTTTATCCTTTCTAAGTCTGAGGTGGCCTCAGATGGAGCCACCCTGGTGACGTGAGCATGGCCTTAAGTGCTACTCTGTCCCTGTTGTCCCACGCTGGTTGTGTGAATTTGGAAAGGTCCCTCGGCCCCTCTGCTCCTTGGTTTCCTAGGGTAAATAACTCCTGCTCTGGGAGGCCGCTCAGGCTGCAATGAGGGGCAGCAGAGTGCCCAGCACACGCGGGCTCCGTGGTCAGTACGCAGAAAACCATGCCGCTGCTGTTTTCCCTTGAGCCGATGGGGAATGACGTTTACAGACTGATCATCTTTGCCTGCATCCTGACTGTATGTATCCGTTCTTCCTAGGTGTTGGGACTAAGGAAAAAGGCCCTGCGTTAAGCCCTATTTGTGACTTCCGATATTTCACTAATGCTTTTCAATCAAGAAAACAGCATTGCTAAATTACCTGTCACTTAACAGTGGTATTTGAAGGATTTGTGTGGCACAATTATGACCTTATAAGTAGGTGCCCCTCAAAACCGATCAGGCCTATTGCTTCCTTTCTTTGGTTCATCTGTCTCCTCTGCTGTGACCACCTTGTTCCTCCTGACATGGAAGGTATATAAGCTTTTGTAGTGTGCACATATGTTGTAAAGTACATGGAGGCCAAAACTATTCACTGTGTCAGTGCTTTTCAAATCGTCTTCCATGGAACCGGTATCAGAACTCATCATGTATGTTTATGAAAAGCAAAGGTGCTCAGGGCAAAATCTGTTTACACCCTGTGCCAGGTCTGGTGTTCCAGGGCATGAAAAGCAATGGCAAAGAGTTCTACAAGCTGTAGAAGTTTGAGAGTCACTGTATTAATCAGATAATCCAATAGTCCTGTTTATTTAAAAAATGCAAAAAGAATAGATTTACAGATTCCTTACTGGCATAAAAATCTTAATGCATTTATAAGGAACTATGAACAAGTTATTTTTACACCTTTGTCTTTCATATTTTAATATGTCAGTGAACCAGGATAGTGCTCTCTTTGTGATGGTAGCCTTTATTTTGTTTGCATGACTAAAGCCCTTTCTGTCTTGTGACTTTGCTTCGTGGCAGACACCCCTTAGTGGTATAATAACCATTTAGAGAAGTCCTGTACACTTAGCTTAGTTCTGAGCCTGCAGAGGCTGGGAAACTGTGTTCAGTGAAGAACAGGAAGTGGGACAGTTTCCTTCCCTCTCCCGGCACAGGAAAAGCTTTAGGCAAAATTCTGTACTACTGAAAACCTTTGATTTAGTTTGGTTTTGTTTCTTTACATATTTTTTCTTTGACCTTCGCGTAGAACCTTCATGGTATCATAAATCTCCAACTGCTTTTGTTCCATCAAGACCTCACTAGTCATACAAATTGTCTTCTTCTATCCTCTGGTCAAAAGTTCTGTTCTTCAATGCAGCAGATACCATATACTTACTGAGAAAAGTAATCTGATGAAACTTAAGAAGTTTTTTGAAAGTTGTGATTTCATTTGCATTTTTATATGGTAGATTGATATTTTGATTGTAAATGTGGCATTGGAAAAGACTCGTACAATCCTACTAAGATATTTTTAAAAATACTAGTGTATTTCCTTTTTTTTCACCTGTGTGCACGTAGAATATTTTAACTTCAATTTAATATTTAATTGGTAGGATTTTATGCATTGCAATAAAGTGAAAAGCTTCATGCAGGATAGAGGAAGATAGTGTAGCGTTGACTTTTCATGTAACCCAGTCACGCTTGGAAGTCCATGTCCAAATCCAGGTTCTTCCCATTGTTTTCTCTGAAAGTTCTATGTTTTTCTTAATAGCTTCCAGAGCAGTAACCCCCTTTTAGTGATGGAGACACAGATACAAGATAAAAGATGAACGTATGTGTGTGTGCATGTGTGTGTACACACATGTTGATAATTTCTGAGTTGAGGACTACCCACAATTGTAAAATTTCATCTTTTTTCTTTTTCTGGTACTGGGGATCGAACTTATGACCTTGCGCTTGCCAGGCAGGCACTTATGCCACTGAGCTAAATCCCTGGTTCTCATTCTTCTTAAACTTCTCTTTTTGTCACTTTTTCAGAATACATGTTGTCTGCAGAGTATAAACTAACACGTTCTTGTTTTTTACTCGCTGAGTTTGTCAGCCAGCCATCATTCACTAGCATTTTGTAATCGTCTCATTTAAAGTTTGCTTTTGTGTATATTAAAGAATTTCTTTTGTTCACTTTGTTTGCATTGTCTGTCTTACTGTTCGAGACTCGAAATACCACCTCTGTGCCTTGCCACCGTGCCAGCTTCATTTATTGTGTAAACAGAATTCTGAACTGAGAGTTTTTTCTTGACCTCATCAGATCATCTGATCATCTTACTAACAGGGAGTCAAATATAGTATGAAGTCATCTCACTGAGAAGCCAGCTGTGACATATATCCTGTGGTTATAAAGACAGTGTGTGTGTCTGTAGTAGAACACTTCTTAACCAGAGGCACTGAGAAAGCACAAGCTCCGTGTCATCTTAGCTTTATTAGCTCTTGGTCTCAGTCTCCAGAATGGCCAGCCAGGTCCTTGTAAGCCTGTTATACACCCCTTGATCTGTCACTGTATCGTTTTGCTGCCTTTGTAATCAATTTGATGACAGCCTCAGTTGGTCAGTGCTGTATTGCCATCTCCTAGGGAAAAAACATTTTTACTCACTGAGTATGAGAATTTTTAAAAGCAAGATACTTCTACACAAGAAACTACATGATCTCTTTTTTTATTAATTCTTTATGCTTTGTCTACTATATTTTAACAGGCATGATAAAAAGGAAATGGGAATATGTATGTAACCATAATAAAGAAAATGCCAAGATCCAGGGAGATGAAAATGTTGATCCCACATGTGAAGACAGTGAGGACAAGTTTGACTTCTCAGTGATGTCCTATAACATACTTTCACAAGATTTATTGGAAGATAATTCACACCTTTACAGACACTGCCGACGGCCAGTACTACACTGGAGTTTCAGGTTTCCCAATATTCTGAAAGAAATTAAACACTTTGATGCGGATGTAAGTGCAGAGTATCAAAAATTTACACACAAGGAAAAGTTGGGTTGAATATTTGATTCTTGCCTTTGGGAATAATATGGCTTTATACATTGTTTGTGGGGAGGAAAGAGAAGAGATTAAAGAAGGGTAGTGGAACAGTTCTTAATGGGGCATTGTGAGTTCAAGCGAGTCATTTGCTAGTGGTTGGTTGTATAAATAATCATTTGACTTTTTGAAAAGGATCTCAAGGTTTTCAGTATTGGCCAGTTTTAAGATGAACTGGCAACATATTGAAATTTTAATAATTTATGAAAAAATTCTATCTGAATGATAGCATTTAAATCTTTTTTTTTTTTTTTTTTTTTTAGTCTTTTTGAGATAGGGTCTTACTAATGTGGTTCAGGCTGACCTGGGGCTCACTTTGTAGCCTAGGCTGGTCTCGATCTTGCAATGATCCACCTGCCTCAACCTCTAAAGTGCTGGGATTACAGGAGTGCACTGTCACATCCAGCAAGAAGTCAACCTCTTAAGACCCAGAGCATTAGTACTAATTAACATGTAAACTTAAGAAACATAGCCTGACATATAAATTGAAAATATTTCTTTTGAGTTAAAACAACTTTTTGGATGGTAAGAGAGTGCCATGTGATTAATGGGCCAGGGTTTTGAGACTGATCAAATTTGGAGGCCTTAATTTGATCTATAAATAACAAGAAGTATTATAAGTTTTTTTTTTTTTTTTTTTTTTTTTTTTTTTTTTTTGTATTTTTACCAGTACCAGAGATCAAACTCACAACCACAGGCTTGCAAGGCAGGCACTTATGCCACTGAGCTAAATCCCCAGCCCCTAAAGTATTATAAGTTTTTATTTCAATTCTCAAGTTCGGAATTTGAGAATTTTTTCTTCTTTTAAAACAGATTTTATTGGGGGCTGGGGATTTAGCTCAGCGGCATAAGCACCTGCCTTGCAAGCAGGCAGTCGTGAGTTCGATCCCTGGTACCGATAAAAACGAAAAAGACAAAAAAAAAAAAAAGATTTTATTGGTACATTTTAGATATACATAGTGTGAAGTCATCTCACTAAGAAGCCAGCTGTGACATACAGATATATCCTGTGGTTATAAAGACACTATGTGTGTCTTTATATTCATTCATTGTGGAGAATTTGTGTATATGATATAACTTGATTCCTTTTCTATCCCCCTACTTTCTCTTCAACCCCTTTTCCCTTCCCAGGTTGCAAAAGCTTTGTTTCCATTTTTTCCTTTTCTCAAGAAGCCTGTTTTTAAAGATGAAAGTACTAGAAAATTCACATTTGCATCTCTGTATGTTAATCCAAGCCATTTTTTTCTTCCAAGGTACTTTGCCTACAAGAAGTTCAAGAAGATCATTATGGAAAAGAAATCAGGCCAAGCTTGGAATCACTGGGTACAGTGGAACTTTCAGTTTAGCTTGATGTACTTTTGAAAATTTGTGAGTTACTAAAGCATAACTTGCTAATCAGAGATATATGGCATATTTGGGCTAAAAAAATCTTAATTTTGAAAATGCATCTGTTGGGGCTGGGGATTTAGCTCAGGGGCATAAGCACCTGTCTTGCAAGCAGGTGGTCATGAATTCGATCCCTGGTACCAATAAAAAAATAAAATGCATCTGTTAAGGTCGGGGAAAGAGTGAGGTATTGCATTTGGATATTGCTCCTTGCCTGCCCCTCCATGTCAAAGGCTCTGAGCTATGTGAGTGCAGGGACCGTTCTGCCTGATCATCCTCAGAGCTGCAGGCTGTGATGAAGCCTTTTATAAAAACGACATCCGTAGTCACATGAATTTGAGAAATGCACTGTTTTGCATTCATTCAATAACTAATTTTTCAGCGCCTGCTGTCTACCATCTGCTGTTCTAGACAGTTTTGCTGAAAGAACACTGGGCAAAACAAGTAAAAAGTCTTCTCCTTTATGGAGAAAAGCTGACAATAAACCAAAAAAGTGAAGAGCATATCTAGCAATGATAGTTTTCTGCAGAGAAGCAGGAAGGTGCAGTGGGAGAAGTTTTAAGCAAAATAATCAGACAGATTGACATTCAAACAAAGACTTAAAAGAGGTGAAGGAAGAAGCTAGGCCTAAGGAAGGAAGAGCATTCTTTGCAGCCAAAGTTGCTGGTGTTGGAATGTGTTCGAGGCAGAGGAGGAGCCAGAATACTCTAAATGAAGGGGAAAGAGGTAGAGACAAAGAGACCAGAGATTCGGGCTGGGTGGAGTGGTGGATTCTTCTAAATCTGCGCTGTGAGTGCCATGACCAAGTTTCACTCGGTTGGAACGAGAGAGACTGATACACACAGGTGTACTCCGGGCGAGAGTCACTGGTAAAGGGGTCTGTTAAACCTGGTTCTAAACTTCTCAGCATCCCCTGTCACTAATGGGAAAACGATGTTCAAAGACGGTAGAGCTGCGTCTTGACGTGGGTCTGCTGTGTTAGACCAGTCCCTCATGTAAGGCTCGCTTCTGTCTCCCAGGTTACCACTGTGAGTATAAGATGCGCACAGGAAGGAAGCCTGACGGCTGTGCCATCTGCTTTAAACATTCCAAGTTCTCACTCCTGTCAGTGAACCCCGTGGAGTTCTACCGCCGCGACATCCCTCTGTTGGACAGAGACAACATTGGATTAGTTTTACTCTTACAACCCAAAACAGCCTGCGCCACCTCTCCTGCGATCTGCGTGGCGAATACGCACCTGTTGTACAACCCGAGGCGAGGCGATATCAAGCTGACCCAGCTGGCCATGCTGCTGGCCGAGATCTCCAGTGTTGCTCACCAGAAAGACGGCAGTTTCTGTCCCATTGTTATGTGTGGTGACTTTAACTCTGTTCCCGGCTCCCCACTCTATAGTTTCATAAAGGAAGGAAGGTTGAATTATGAAGGACTGGCTATCGGAAAGGTAAGTGGTCACTTCATTGTTACCAGGAGCCAAGCCTCCCTGCTGTGCGTCCTAGTGGGATGATGCCTGTGTGTCTTGGAAACCTCAGATGCCCCAGGGCCTCGCTTTGTCAGGCTGAGGCTCCTCCGGAGCTTGCTTTGACTTGACCTTTACCCTGCGTGGTGGCAGTGTTCTGCCTGGAGGAATTAGCAGGCAGTGGGAAAGTGGAGGGCATTCGGGGAGAAGAAGGCAAAAGCAAGGCAGACCTGGGCTGCTTGGAAAGGAGGATTTCACCAGCGCCAGGCAGCGTGCGGGTTTGCTTGATGGCGATGGGCAATGCGGTTGGCAAAACTCATTTAATATTATACAAGTTTTTCTTTGAAGAACAATACATATTTTCATTTTCTAGATTTACATAATTTAGCCCGTATAGCCAGGCACATGCCTGTGATTCCAGCACTTGGGAGGCTGAGGCAAGAGGATTGCTTCAAGTTTGAGGCCAGCCTGGGCTGCATAGTGAGTTTGGGGCAGCCTGAACTGTCTCAAAAAACAAATAACAAAAAAATAATAACTTAGCCCATATTATTATTTTTTATTGCTTTCCTCTGCTTACTGTAAATCATTTAATTCTCAGTATAATTAACCAAAATAAGCTCTTCCTCCCTGGAATTTTCAAAGGTAGTTTTAAATATTAAAAGAGTTGGATCTCTGTTAGTATTTGATTAGTTCAAAGCTACAGACCATTTTAGTATTCAAATTAGAAGAAGAGGGTAGGGGAAGATTGTGATTTTTATGTAGGCAGTGCTTTCTGAAGTATATTTGAACATGATTTTATATGCACAAATAATTACTGAGCAAAGAAAGGGTAATATTTACCAGTCTTAGACCACCTTTTATTTAAGACATAACTTTTCAATACATAAACTATTTAAAATTATTCACTTAAGGTACCTGTTGAAATTTTGTTTAGGTATCTGGCCAAGAACAGTCTTCACGGGGACAAAGAATTTTATCTATTCCTATTTGGCCCCCAAACCTAGGTATCTCCCAGAACTGTGTGTATGAGGCACAGCAGGGCCCAAAGGTAGCCGAGTCAGGTAAGTGTTCGCAGAACCTTGCAGCGGCAGTGGCTGGGGAGCAGGGTTCCCTCTGGAGACTTGAAACCACATTTTTAAAGGGGCAGCATCTCAAGGATGAATATGTGTAGTTACTTGTTCATTCCCTTGTTTTTTTAAGGGCTCTAAATTTACTCCTTTAACATCAAACAGCTAACAGTGTCTGTGCATGAGTTACTTGCATGTTGCCCTGGAGTTGCTGCATTTCATTTTTTCTCATTCTGGAGACCAGCGAGACGCAGGCTCCAGGAGAAGCATTGTGAACCTGTCTCCATACCTCTTGACTGTTGCTAGGGTAGGAGGGCTGTGCTAAGGCAGATGGGAGCAGAACAGTTAGGAGGCTAATATGTTTCTCTCCGGGCTTCTAGATGGTGGCTTAACACAGACACAGCTGGAGAACACAGAGGTCCTCGTAACAGCTGAAAAGTGAGTTCTGGAAAGCAGCGGCGGCTGTTTCCTGATTAGTTGACTGAAAAAATCATTTCTCAAAATCATTTGCATTAACAATGAAGGTTTTTGTGTTGGGAGAGTGTGCTGGCTTTCAGTTTCATACCTTTCATACCTTTGTATACCTTGTTTTGCAAAAATATTCTCCAGTAAAAACCTAGTAAAAACAGAAGCAATGTTTAGTGTTATAACAGTATTAAAAAATTCATGATTAGACCTTTAAAATATAGCAAACATTCCCCTATGAGTAATACAAAAGACAATAATATTTTTTAGTAATGTTTGTCTTTATAATAGAGGGTGATATAAAAGATAACTTTGTATGTAAATATATTTAGACATATAGCGTTTATCTATGAAAACTGATAGTCAGGTCACGGTGGAGAAACTTACATTTAACGCTGTACATGAAGCTCTTGGACTGGCTGGGAAGTCATTTCCAGGAAGGACCTTCGTTCACTGACAACGGAGCTGCTTGGAAAGCAAGGTGCACATCTCTGTCTGTCTCCTCAGTACGTCAGACAGACAGACAGTGCCTTTGCAGATTTTGATAAATCTTTGTTCAGTAGATTTTAAAATGTCCTAAAATTTTTATTTTCCTTCATGGCAAGTGACGCTTAAAATTCATGAGGTCTGATTAGGAAATGACTCATTTCAGCATGGAGTCCGTGTAAAGCATCGGAGACACCATCTTGAGATGTAGCACAAAATTGTCTTCTGATTTCTAATCAGAATTAGAATTCTAATTAGAGCAAAAAATAACACAGATGACACCCAGACTTCTGAGGTCCAGGGAGTGACAGGTAGCCTTCCTGAATGCTGTTTGTCCACTTTGATTTTCTTTCTTAAAAACACCCCCAAAATGCTAAGTCATTTTACAATGCATGTTCATGAAGTGCCGGCTCTGAAACATGTCGTAGATAATTAAAACTCATTAGAGTGCTGATAACTGAGTTTTTTGCTCCCCTCCCTGGGTTGCCTCCTGGGAATCTCCGCGTGATGTGGGTGTCACAATGGGATGTGGTCTGTGTGACTGAGAATCCACATCTGGCTTTAGGCTTGGTGGTAAATGAGAAGCTACTTTCAATAGGAGAAATTACAGCAGTCGTGAAAAACTTACCAATTCTCAGTGCTTTCTCTTTTCAATTTAGGTTACCCTCAAGTTTACAGCACCATTTCAGCTTGTCGTCTGTTTACTCACATTACTTTCCTGACACTGGGATTCCAGAAGTGACCACCTGTCACTCCCGAAGTGCCATAACTGTGGATTATATTTTCTACTCTGCAGAAAAGGAAGGCGTTGCTGGGCACCCAGGTACAGACTCTGCATAATCTTCATTCTACTTGAGAGAACAGGAGCTCTAACTCCAAGGCTGACGTTGAACAAGTTAGCTTCATGTAGATGACGTTCTTGACGTAGAAGTTAAAATGTTTTTAAATAGATGGATTGGTAGCATACATGAAGAAATAAGATTGTTGCCTGCATCTGATCAGGACAGAGGTGAAACCTCCCCAAAGCAAATGATTACCTAAGAATTAATCCTCAGTGCTTGCATCAGCTCCAGTTAGTTCTGAATTGCAGGTCATTTACATTGCCCTTTATTTTTATGTGCCCTTGTGTGCACTGTTTGTCCATGATAGGAACTGAATCCGTTAATGGTCACCATGTGGTGTTTTTTTTTTTTTTTTGTCTTTTTTGTTTTTATCGGTACCAGGGATCAAACTCACGACTGCACACTTGCAAGGAAGGCGCCTATGCCACTGAGCTAAATCCCCAGCCCCACCATGTGTGTTTGTGGAGCAGCTCCCTGAGTTCCCTAAGCGCTGCCTTCATCGTAGGATGGTGTGGTGCATACATGCCAGCCACGGCAGTAGTGTTCCGCTGCCCCCCAAATGCTGGCTCTTTCTGCAGAGGAAGAAAAGTATAATATTATTGTGTGTTTGCAAAAAGAAAAGGCGATAACACTTTTCCTTGTATGACTCAATGAAAATCAGATTGAATAAGCAAAGAATTTAAGATGAGGGGAAAAAAATAATTGGAAACCTAAAAATATTCAGAAATTTTTCAAGTCCTAAATATGGGCAGTGTTAGGATTTTGGCGCGGCCAAAAGATGAGAAGTCTGAAATAAAAGAGGCCTTTATTCTGAGAACGCGGAGAGAGAAAAACAAAACCCCCCCACCACTGAAGTCTGGCTTTGTAAAACTCCACCGGACATGTGGTGTGAGGGCCTACATGTAGGTTTGGGGTGGTGCTTAAGGGGCATTAGTGATGCACAGGTAGCCCATTGCTATTCATTTCACGCCACAGGTAAATTGCCTAGGGGCGGAGAAGATGACCTCAAGATAGAGCCCCTTGGTTCCGCCTCCAAGGCTTTACTGGCTACAGTGTCCCATCTGGGGCAAAAACCTTTCAGGCAGCTTGTTTTCTGTTTTCTTTTTGTCTCCCCCCTCTTCCATTGTTTTGTGCTAGACCTTTTCTTCTTGCCTTCCGTCTGGGGGTTACCGTATTAGTAACACTCAGGAAGGGGAAGTCTGAGTGCTCCTCGCACTAAGTCACCTGTAGAAAGCATGCTTGCTCCTCTCACTGTGTAGTAAGGTTCCGGGAGATGTTATGTTTACAGACGTGCGCTAGGTGGCAGAAGAGAGCCACAGATCAGCCACTCAAATCTCAGCTTGAGAGCCCTCCCCTTTCATTCTGCTTGCAGGGATTTGTCTCCACTCACCTTGTAAACTACTCACATGACCGTAGTTGGAACTGTTCAGTTTTACAGAATAACAGAATCACTGGTAGGTGAATTAGGTGGCTGTCAATCTCAAAATATTTTTAAAATTTACTTTAAAAAATTTTTTTAGGTCCGAAAATTTAGTTTAGCAACATAAGTGCCTGCCTGGCAAGTGCAAGATTGTGAGTTCGATTGCCGATACTAAAAGAACAAAAAATTTTTTTATTTTTAGCCAGAAATGATAGCATACACCTGTAATCCCAGCAGACAGGAGGCTGAGGCAGGATGATTGCCAATAGTTTGTGTCCAGTCTCATCTACACAGTAAGTTCAAGGCCAGCCTGAACTAGATGGTGAGACCTGAGTGCTGGGATCACAGGCTTGTGCCACGATACCTGCCTCTAACTATTAAAATTATTTTATGTGTTGCATTAATATTTTCTCCTAATGATTATTTGCAGAACATCTGAAATACTGTGTAACTCTCAAAACTAATCCAAAACCTGCATATTACTCTTCTGGAGCAGGTATCAAGTTCCATTTCTTCCTTTTTTTTTTAAGACAGAGTCTCACTGTGTAGTTCAGGCTGGCCTTGAACTCACTATTATAGCCTTGGCCTGCCTCAGCCTCCTGACTGCTAGGATTACAGGTGTGTACCACCACACCTCACGTTGTTTCATTGTTGTTTTAGAAAAAAATATTTGTATAATTAATTTGCAATAACCTGTTGGACAGTTTCTCTAAATCTGTGTGTGTTTCTTTAACATAGGAGCTGAAGTTGCTTCAGCTGGTGGCTTGAAACTTCTAGCGAGGCTGTCGCTTCTCACAGAACAAGACTTGTGGGCTGTGAACGGGCTTCCCAATGAAAACAGCCCTTCGGACCACCTGCCTCTGCTGGCTAAGTTCAGACTTGAGCTTTGACTCCTGTTATGTACATAACTTATGTTCCAACTTACGTCCTTTTCCAGCACATGGAAAGCTGCTGAATGTTTGAACGTTGTTTATTTTTGTGCTATGGCATAACAGGTACAAGAAACAAGTTTATAATCCTTTTCTTTTTTAATAATGAAAAATATTTTCCTGATAAGACCTAAATACTCTTTATTGTAAAAGAGGTATAAATATTTTTTTATTCTAATTCTAGTAAAATTGACAGTGGTTTTTAAATGTAGCATACCTTCTTTAGTCTGCACAATGAAGAATTCCGATCCCTGTGCTGGGCAAGCTTTGCAGTGGATGCAGACCGTCTGTCTGGCTTCTTGAAAACCACAGGTTGGTTCCTTTCTGCGAGGCCTGGTTTCTTTGGGGAAGCCCTTGAGTCCTAATTAGTTCGCCTGAGAAATCACTTAGTCATTCTCCAGTGTCTAGCCATGCCTGTTGCCCAGGGAGTGGCACTGCTTTTCCAGTGAGGCAGCAGGGAAGTGTGCTGTGCTGAACTTGCTGAGGGACAAATCCTTTCCAGGAGCACACACTTCCCGTAGGCAGTGAGGGGTTGGCCTCACCGCAGTAGAGATCGGGGAGCTGGGCTGTTGCCCTAGCATTTTTTTTTCTCTTTTTAAAATCAGTTGCGGGGCTGGGGATTTAGCTCAGCGGCATAAGCACCTGCCTTTAAAGCAGGTGGTTGTGAGTTCGATCCCCGGTACCGATAAAAATGAAAAAGACAAAAAAAAAAAAAAAAAAAATCAGTTGCAAGAATTACTTCCTGGGTTAAGGGCGACATTTATTTTACTATTGACTTTATTAAGAAAATTGTTATTGGAACAAAGTGGCAGCTATGAGATCATTTTGGGTATAGCTCAGGAACTCGAGGAAGCTGTGGAACTTTATTGGGGAGGCGCTGACCTGCAAGCCTGCCGCTCTTCTTGCAGGAGTTATCAGAACTGTTGAAGGCTTTTCCTTTGTTTCTTGGATGTTTTGTTGTGTTTCACAGTGATACACCGTGCAAGGTGGTGCTAACACTTTTTATGAGCTGGTTGGTTATGAGCAGTTTTCATAAAGCCTGCAATGGACTCTAGATAAATGTTTGAATAAAAATTTTGGAAACAAAGTAAGTGAAAATGTCCTTTTTTTAAATACTAGGTTCAGGCATTTTTATTAAGTAGACACTTCACTGAACTATGAACATTTTTACAGTGCGTTTTATTAAGAAAATGTTTTATTTTAACTTGGACTTTAAAATTTTTGTACCAAATCACTTGCAACAATTATTTTTAAAAATTAGATCAGACAAAAGAAGGCATGCAGTTTATAAAGATTTATCTAGTAAGAGTTGTGATGAACAAGTACTTTTAAATGTTTGATTTCTCTCTTTAGTTTTTATTTATAGGATTAAGTACATATAGTTCCCAGATTTTCCAGTTTTTAATAGTTTGTGGAATATCATGTGTCTTGCAGATATAGTCATCAATTTGTAATAATACAATATCCCTTTTTAGTATTGGGGAAAGAAAAAAAAAATCCACTTATTACTTCTTTGAATTAAGTGAATTTGTTAGCAAATAACTATTATGTATAGTTCATTGTTAGCAAACTAACATCCCTGAAGACCTCTGACAAAATTACTTTATACCTACTGAATATATTGTCAGTTTAGGCTTGTTTCATGTTCTGGACGTGGTAAGAATCCATAAAATTGATTGCATTCTGCTTCAGTTCATCAGTGGAGTGTGGCTGTGGCCCTGCAGCCAGCAGACTGGTGTTACCTCCTTGCAAGTTTCTGCAGCTCCACAGAGAGTGATTATTTAAGTTACCTGTTTATCTTTACTTTTTTGAACATAAATTGCTAACTCTGCTGGAGCCTCATTTTTATCTGCCAGAACCAAATCCTATTAATTGCAGAAACAAAATTTCTTGGTCTTACATGTTTTACAATCGAAGCTCCAGATGCAAGCAGGAATCATAATAAGATGTTGGTTTCACTATGCCTTTGCATAGCAAGATAATACGCATGTTTGATTTTTTTTTTTTTAACTTAGCCACTATCTTGAATTCAAGGACTTGGGGAAACAGGAGCATGATGTCATTTGCACTTTGTATCTGTGAATTATGTAAATAAATTATTGTACTCATACGTCTGTGTCTGCACGTTCTGTGGTGGGGTGCTAAGCTATGTATGCGGGACTTGTGCTCTCCTATAAACTTTCCTGTTTTCCGCCTGTATTATGTAAAGTAGTGCTAAAAGACATGTTCATTAAGATGCCAAAACAATGTTCAGTAGTTTAGAGTGTGGAAATAATGTTTAATATTTGAGTTTGGAAACTGTGAGAGAAGAGGTAGGGATAATAGTTTATTAGAACATGTGAAATAAGAGGCCAAGAACCATCTTACAGTTCGGAAAGAAGAGAAGCATACTCCTTAAGTTGCCAGGATGGTTTTATTAAAGTCCCATGCTGTGTATAAACATACAAGTGATGCCGGAAACAGTAACTCAGAACATGCACTTATCTGGCGCTCTCTAAAATACCATTATACAAGTTTTCATTTACTTAGAAAAATACCCACTAAAACAATCACAGTTTTTCTTAAAGGTTTAAAAAAAATGTATCGGCCAGAACAGAGTCCAAGAGAATAAACAAGATTCTGAATTGTATGTCAAAAAAAACTGTACAAGGTTGTACATAAAACTATAGCTTACAAAAGCCTTGGGTATAGTAAGAATACTGAATTAAGATTTCCAAAGTTCTATTTACCAATATCGATTAATAAAAACCTTATGAAATAATTGACTTAGTAAAAGTGAATGTTCATGATTTCAGTATATATAGAAAATACTAAATACCATTTTCTGAAATAAAGTGTACTCAAAACAGCACAATCAGTCTCAAATCAAGATTTCTGTCATTCATTTAAACTTTGCATACATTGCCAGTGGTGGCTTAATCATAAAATCTCTTGCATAATTACTTTAAAAACTAGATTCCAAATTCATAGTTTAAAAAAAATTGTTATAGCCAACCTTAAAATCAGTTTTGGGAAATAAAATATATTGGTTTTGTTGTTTAGTTGGGTCATTTTTGGGTTGCTGGGGGGTTTTAAATCCCATAATATTAATTGTATTATTGCATTAGAATTTAGGAGTTTGGTGATTTTCCTATATTTTATAGAAGTTAATTATTCTGTGGGCAGTAGAAATAGAAGTTCTAAGAAAATTTTAATGTTTAATTTTCATGTTTCTGGGACTAACCCTTGCTTTGGGAACAGTAATCTAAAAATCAAGGTATGTTGAAGAAATTAGGTTCCTAATTGAATCATTAAGGCTTATACGGCAGCATATCAGCAACAGTTTTGTACTCCTTTTTTCTTGTAGGAAACAAGAAGCCCTGCAACTAGCTGACCTTCTGTGTCTTTGATGGACTGGTCCTTAAGCAGTGCTTGGCAGGGGCTACTCCAAGCTCTTAGAGAGGCTACATGTTTAACATTGTCTACTTACTGATACAATAAAGTTTCAGGTGGAGAAAAAGAGCATACATGGGTACATCAGTATTGTTTCAGAGTGAGGAAGAAATGATTCCCTGCCATCTCAAAAATACCAGTACCTGTGGCCATGCAGCAAATGGGTATACGGTGTCAAGACAGATGAAAGTGACTATGAGGCTGGTGACGGAACCTGGGACCTCACGCATCTAAGCACAGGCTCTGCCGCTGGTGCATCTCCAACCCTAACAATTCATCTTAAACTGACTGATAATCCTGCTCCTGAGGGAAATGATCAAGTTCAGAAGTTTAACTTAAAAGCTGCATGTTAGTCTAGGGTACAGCTGGCTCCCTTCCCAGGAAAACAGTACTTCATTCATAGCGCTGATTTTCACAGTAAAGCAAGCTCCTCTGCACACAGCTCAAGGGTCAGGTTCTTCTCTCATCACCTCCAGACTGTCAAAGAGCAGTTTTTTAGCTTTTTTTATTACTTTCCTATAACCATCTTCAGTCAAATCCAGAAGTATTGAGACTGAAGTAACATTGTTCACTCGTAGACTTCATTTAGGTCTTCTTTGGTCTCAGGCAGCTGCTGAGATAGTAACAAATGGAACAGAGGCTCTGCTCCCGCTGTGTGGAATGTGCAGTCTGTGTGCGTCCTTCATAGTTATCCTGTCTCCTGCAGCCGGAAGCTACACCATAACCAGAACACGCAGGCTCAACGGACGGGGTGTGATGAGATGCAGCGCTGGACAAGACAACTGCCATTAAAAAAAAATCCTGCTTCTCTAACGTATTTTCCAGGACTTCCTAAAAACGTCCTGAAGGGTGACATCTAATAGCATGGAACTGGAAAATACAGATCACATTTGGCCTTAATAGATCAGAACCCATATTTCAGACAGCGAGACCCTCAGGATGAGAGCCTGACTCACTTAAAAATCAGATTTAAAAAAAAACTATATATATATGACATAAAGCATGAGCAGAAAGGTTACTTGGTTCACAAGACCTACTGGTTCGCTCCTGGCTGCCCTGGCTTTCCGAGTGTCATTTTCCAGGTGATTGTGACACTGCTGAGCCAGTGTTAACAAGCACGTGACCTCTTGTGCTTTTTGCTGGACCCCACAAAGTTTAAATGTTAGCGACAGAATGAGACTAGCTTCTGACTGTGCTTGTTTTGTACGAACAGAAATCGCCATCAGTGAATGCTCTAAGAAAGATTAAGAACTCCCAGATCCTAAAAATGGTTTCCCATATTGCCAGAATTCTAGTGCTTCTTTATAAAATCTTTGCATATATTACTTTAATCTCATCACATATGTGCACCAGGAAGAAATTCCAAACTTGTGGAAAATCCCATGGGAAACAGTGGAGAAACAATACAAATAGAATATAAAAAACCAAAATGCCATTGAGTTTGCATATCTGATGTAAAAATGCTGAGGTAATAGTAACTGCTTTAAAAAAACCTACCCATCTTTGCTTCTGTTATTGCTGAAAAATACTGATGGAGTGAGCTTACTATACCAAAAAGGACATTTGCTACTGATGAGGCTAATGTTCAAAGCCAGGAACAGAAGTAAATGAGGAAGTATAAAACGACAGTTAAGGTTTGTTATCCTTGAGCTCCTGAGTGAGGGGACGGTCCACTCCCAGCGGGGTTTATTGTGTAGCCTTTTCATGGTTGCCTCTTCGGGAGTTTTTTAAAGCTAATTGTTCCTACCCACTCAGGTTCTATTTCCAGGTGCAGCTTTAGAAATAAAATTCACAAGTTCATAATAAATAATCACAGTTCCTCCTGCTGGGTAAAGTGCAGAGCGAAGCACCACAAAACCCTCTTGCTGGCTGCTGCAGCTTGGCTAGATTCGGATCTGATAGCCCACTTCATTCAGTGTGCTGAGGTCCACCGCCTTCTTCTCAGGCAGGGCAGGCCTAGGAGAGACGGGAAGCCGGAGGGGAGAGGACAGGACAGAGAAAGTCAGCACTGCGCAGCCACTGGGCTGTCCACCCCACCCACTGAAAAGTGTTCCTCAGTCCACCCGCCGCCCACTTCGCTCCCAGCTCTGCTTGGGTCTGAAGTCCACCCTCATAGGTGTTGGGAGTTTTCTAACAGGCCGTCAATGTGGACATCAGAATTTCTAGGGCATTGAATGAACTTTCACAACTTGATGCTTGAATTTGGTCACACTAGAACTTTTGAAACCCATGGTCTGTCTGTTCACCTTGTAAGAAAAATCACGCATACTATAGGATTATAAATCAGATTTCTCCTGGAAATCCTAGAAGTTGTGCCTGGGGAAACCCAGGACTTACTCGGTGACTCAAACTCCCAAAGAGGTTCTCGGTTTCTTTTTTCTTGAGCACAGGGATTGAAACTTGGGCCTCTAAACTGAGTCAACCCCTGCTCCTTTTATATGTTGAGACAGGTCTTGCTGGGTTGCCAGGCAGGCCTCTAACTCGACATCCTCCTGCCTCAGGGGTCCAGGGTTGGCAGTTTCTGTGTGTGAGGGTTAATGATCCAGGCTTGAATGTATAAAATCAAAGTGACTCAGTTAATCTGGAAAAGCAGGTCATTTCAGTGGCAAAACATCTCTCTCCTCTAAAAAATGTTTTGTAAAGTACTTTTCAATATAAAACATGTTGGCATTTATTGGACGTCATGTAAGAAAGTACTTGAACTTGGAGAAAAAAGTCATTTAGGAGCACATGAGCCATGTTCAGAAAAAACTTCAAAAATGACTTCCTAATATAACTATGCCTCACGTGTTCATGGCTTAAGTTTTTCTGTTCCCTCTTCTCACCTGGGAGAAGAGATAACCAAGGTCACAAGACAATAAAGGCATTGTTGATTACATATGAACTCTATTCTTAAGCAGTTTTTTAGGTTGTTTGCTTTGCTAAGTGTTAAAAATAATTGTAAGAAGTTTCTTAATGCGTATCTTTGAGAAGTTCTGGACTGCAGATAGTTTTCCAGATACGAGAGCGGTGCAGCTCTTTGAGCCGGGAATGAGCAGCCAGCCTCTATCAGCTCACTCCGTGTCACTAGTTCTGCCCTCTCCTCTCTGCCTCTGAGAAGGGACTCTGGCCACTGCTGCTCTGTGATCGCTCGTCTTGCAAACTTGACCTCAAGGTGGATAAGAAGCTTTCCTTGACCTACTAAAAGAATACTCACAATCTTAATTCTCTCTGGGTTCCAAGGGGCTTATTTCTCTGCTCGACCACGTGTCCTGATTTACTGGGTCAGGACCCACGCCCCGTCCTCTTTGTGTCCTTTTCCCTTGGCTCCCGGGACACACCCATGATGCTGAGAAACAGCTGACAATGGTATGGAGCCCAACCCGGGTGCTGATTCCTGCTCCATGTATGAGAGCACACCAGACCTCTGGCATCAGGCAGTGGTGTCCCCTGGACCAGCCAGGCCCTGGACACTCCCAGGCCCTTTAAACAGGGCTACTGCTGGCCTGCAAGTGGCTCAGGAGCTTGTGAGGACTCTTCCCAGCCGGCAGCTAAGGGGAATTCAGTGATGTTTGAAAGCTTGGGCTTGTAACTCTGTGCTACCCCTCAGGCCACAAAGGTGGGCGGAATGAGGGTTCTTGCAGAAAAGCCAGGTTTCAGCGCACTCATTTCATAAAGAGCCCAGGACGCAGCCTCTACTTTGTCTCTTTGCCTGAAACGGGATCATTTTCCAAACAGCTAATGTGAGACTTTTCTCCCTCCAAGTGGACACTCCAGATGTTAGCACCAGCCTGAGGCACGTGTGATAAAGGGAAGATGATTTCTCCTCTCCCTGATGAGCTGAACATAGAGAAAATGCAATCATCAAACTTCAGCCTAGGGTGGAGCTCAGTGGCAGAGCACTTGCCTAGCATGCTTGAGGCCCAGGACTCGATCCCAAACCAAAAACTCATCTGCACGCATTCTTTGCTTTAGAAAAGGATTAAATGCAGGTCATTTTCCATAGCAATTAGAATACGCTTTCCACGCCCCCTTTCTGTATTGTAACTGCGAAGCCTCCTTCTCAGAGATAAACTACACTCACATCAGATGACACCACAGGTAAGTGGCCTGTCAATATCCACTTTCTCTTTGTTTGGGACTCCCCCCACCCCTGCAACTTTTAGTCAATCACATGGCCACGTGGAGTACAAACTTTCCCAGGCTCCTAGGGGCCAGCCCTGGCCCTGTGGGTAACAGGTTGCCCCTGTGGGGGGCACCAGTCACCACTTGAAAAGACAACCGGCGTGGGCCCTTCATGGTTTTCTTTCTCTTCTCTGCTGCTGAGAGGACGGGGAAGTGATGGTGGTGCTGGGCCTTCAAGGTGGTCACCAACACTGCAGACAGGTGAAGCTCGTTAGCACCTCTGCCCACAGCTAATCAAATCCCTCGGCCCAGGAGCTAGTTCAGCGGCATGGCGCCTGCCTGGCAAGCTAAGATCCTGAGTTCAATTCCTGGTGCAAAATAACCACCAAATTTCCTGCTTCTTTCCCCACTGCCCACCCTCCCCCTGACGACACCAGCTCCTATGCTCATGAAAGCAAGGTTGGGCTGCTGGAGGAAGGTTCCAGAACTGAGAACGGGCTCCTAGCCAGTGCTGATTCCCCAGGAGAAATGGCCGCCCGAGTCGCTGGCCTTGGCCATGGTGCTGCAGCTCCGGGACCCAAACTGTGGTGGTGGCCCTTAATCTCCTGTTGTCTCTGAAAAGTACACATGTCCTGTGCACACCCAGGGAGCCTCTGGCCCTGGGGCCCTGCCGGAACTCCCCAAGCGGCTCCCCCATTCCTAAGCCTTTTGGTACGTGCTTCTTCGTGGCCTGGCATCCTCCTCTGCACCGAGCCCCACCTCTCTGCCTGATGCAGAGTAAGGAGAACACTGCCCAGAAGTCGCTGGCCTGCTCTTCCCAGCCCCGTGACAGGCAGCCGATCCTGGGGTCCACGGCCAGCCCAGGCTGCAGGGGACAGCTTGGCTCCTGGTGTCTAGAGAGAGGCTGCGTGGCAACCACCAGCCAAGCCCACTGGCCACCTCTGAGGGGAGGGCCCATGTGGAAATGGGTGCTATTTAATTTAAATGGGTGCTATTTAACAATCCTCCTGCCTTAGCCTCCCGAGTGCTGGGATTCCAGGCATGCAACAGAAATTACTTCTTTATTTATTAGGCCAGACAACCTGCCAGGCTTTGAGTTGCCGCTAGCCTGTGTGGTGGTCCTGGGACTGTCCCTTGCACAGGAAAGGCTGCAGTGAAGGTAGCAAACTTGCTCAAAGCCGATGCATAGTTAGCAAGCGGTGGCATCACAGCTGGTCCCCAGGACCTGGAGCTGGGCCCCTAACGGCACCATTAATTGCCCCGTCCTCCCTGACCCGGATTAAAGTACCTCCCAAGCATCCAGGAAGGCCATCACGGCCATCTGCTTCTGTTCCTTGGCTTATGCTGTACTCCGTCTGGACTGCCCTTCCCAAGCCTTACCACCCTTGCGGTCCTACCCAAATGCCACCTGTGCCCCTCATATCCACTACTTTGCACTGTTTGCTATGTCCACCTGTTAAAGGACCCTGCTGATCCACCATTACCATGCCTGCTTTGGAAGCTGCCAATAGGTGGAGAGCAAGAACCAACTGAATTCACCTGTGAACCCCACTGTTGACCATGTAACTCTCAATAAAACTTGGGCAAGTTCTCACTAGTGCGTAAATGACTGATAGAGTTTCATGTAACTTTTTTCCTGGGATATTTTACTAATAAAGTCCTAAGCCAGGAGTTCAAGGTACTGATTTAAAAATCAGCAAGTTAGAAAGAATATTCTTTTAAAAAAAAAAAGGTACAGGGGAGACCCCCCCCCCGCCTACACCTCTAACACAAGGTTGCCTCCCTACTGCGTCCTCACCCTGCCCACCTCCACGAGGTGGCAGAACCCAGGGGACCAAAAGGCTCGCACTGTGGAACAGGACCTGAGCAGCGCTTCTCGGACTGTGTCACTTGTGCACGTGGGATTTCGGCAGCGGGCAGGTGCGGGCGCCCCTCAGAGGCCCTTCCGAATGAGGCCCTGAGGTTAGGAGAGTAAGCGCCCCGTCTCGCCTGCTGCTCGCTGCTCTGGCAGGAATCAGCCAGGCTTGGGCTCAGTCCCACCGGTGCCCTCCGCCCACTCCTCTTCCTGGGACGCAGGAACCAAGGTGGCCAGGAAGCTGCATCCGCAGGAGCTTCACTGAGTCACGGCCATGCGCCCTGGAGGGCTCTCCGCCTGCACCCCAAGCCTCCCAGGCCACTGCTACAGCCACTAGGTCCCTGAGGTCACCACCCGGCGCTGTGGCCCAGCATCCCTCGGCTCAGGAGCCCCGAGGGAGCCCTGGCAGACCCCGAAGGCCTGCAGCTCATCCTGTGTGATGTGGTCCCTGCTGGTGTGTCCCAGCGCCCAGCTTGGGTCCCAGGCCCAGGAAAGCATGGAAGCAGCCAGGTCAATATTGGGGTAGAATCTGCTTCTCCGCGCCATCTTGGATACCTGGTCCCTCTGAAGCTTTCCTAACTCCCCACCCGCTTTTCTTTATTACTTTTCTCTTTCATTTCTGTCTCTCTCTCTCTGAGACAGGGTTTTGCTATGTAGCCCAAACTGGCCTTGAACTCACAGAGATCCTCCTGCGTCAGCCTCCCAAATGGTGGGATTATAGGCAAGTCTCACTACCAAGCCTGGCTTCCCTCATCCCCCCTCCCACCTTTTTTTCCTGGTTTCCTCTCCACCTTTCACCAGAAGGACGTTTTCTTCCTTCTGCTCTTTCTTGTTTAGGGGTTAAGGACAGTGACTCCTTTGAATGACCCAAATGAACACCCCCCCACCCCGTGTCACTAAACCAGGGATTCAAATGTATCCTCTGTGACTTCATTAAATAGCCGCTGTCCCCATACAGCGAGTGTCACCCTTCCTGACACAGCGCCCAAGGCCCACTGTCCAGTGTCCAGCATGTGGTCCTGGCATGAAAGGTGATAGGGCCCTACGGCACTGAGGTCCCCAGCAGGCCCTCCACAGAGAGGATCCAAATCAAAGAGCAAGAGGGAAGGGAAGGAGACAACAGCAAAGGACAGAGGAGAAAGCACAGAGGTGACAGAGCTGCTGGCCCCGGGAAGGACAGTGTCCTGCAAGGCCACTCCAGTGGTCAACACTGGTGGTAGCAACTTAGCCAGACCCCAGCTCAAAATAGAAACTCATGAAGGGCTGGCAGTTGCATAGCTTAGTGTGAAGGCCCGGGTTCAATGCCCAGTAACACAGCAAAACCAAACCAAACCAAACCAAACCTCCTGCTGCCTGCTCCTACCTGTGCTCAGGCCTGGGGCCCAGGCAGTAGCCAGGTATTGTGACCAGCAAGGAAAGGACCCCAGAGCACCCCATGCTTCACAGCTAGGTTCTCCACTGGGCAGGGTGCTGAGGGCCTGGCAGGGCAGGGACCATCCCCAACCTCCATCAGCATCTTTCTCTCAGAGCCACAGGGAGCCCCTGCCCAGAGGATGGTGGGGTTGGGGGGCAGCCCCCTGCCCCTGGAAGCCTGGTTTTAGCTAATGCCCTCATCTATGCCGCTGCTCACCCGCCCACTCAGCTGGCTGTGTCAGCCCAGGAACACAGATCCTCCTTGCTAAAGGGATTACTCAGGCAAGTGTAAAAACAGAGCAGAATTCATGGCTGGCAGAGGTTCCAACTTTGAGGACAGAAAGCCACTAAAATTAGCCCTGCTTGGTTCAGGAGCTGGACCCCCCAGCGGATGGGATGGGCCTCTGCTCTCACCTGTCAGGGCATTTCCCACCCTCTGGCCACTCTCCAGCCTCCTGACGATGCTGATTCCTTTAGAAGTGATGGGGTGGGGAGGACCGGCACTGCTCCTCACCAGGGTCCTGGAGTCCAGGGCTCCAGGTCAGTGCCACCCCTATCCTGTCTGCTTTCCTTGCTAAAAAGCAAAGTTTCCCGGAACAAAGGCTGCTTGGTGAGGACCACAAGTGGGGTGGGGGGACCCTATTCCTGCCCAGGCACGGCTCTGGGAGCCAAGCTGCATCTGGTGACATCTGGAGAGGGAGGGCCAGCTCGGGCCTCCGGTCTCCCCACCATCCCGCCATCCCCACCCCTGCAGACCTTCCTTTGGTTCTCATCTTCTGCATCTCTTCCCTCTTCTCCTCCACAGCAGTCCCGGCCCTGAGGCTCAGGGATCAAGACCGAGACTGGCCACCCTGTCTGCCTCCCCCCCCCCATCAGCTCCTATCCCAGGGTTCTTCCTGTGGCCTCCTCCCCCAGCTCTTCCCTGTCCATCTTACCAGCTGTGGTTGCAGTGTTTCCTCCTGAGTAGCTGGCTCCTTTATCCCTGTCCTCCCACTCTAAGGTCTACAGTCACAGTAGTTTCTAGAACATTCTCCCTGGCGGCCCAAGAACCTGAAATTCCACAGTCTAAATTCAAACTCGCCTTCTTCCTGATTTCTCAAACCACCACCACTGCACTCTTGACCTTATCCTCCCCAGCCATTTTCGGTTTTCTTTTTTTGTCTTTGAGACATGGTCTTACTATGCAGTTCAGGCTGGCTTTGAAGTCATTTTATAGACCAGGTTGACCTCAAACTCACAGCAGTCCTGCCTCGGCCCCCCAAGTGCTGGGATTCCAGGTGTGCACCACTAGGCCAGGCAGACCCCAGCCAGTTTCTAAGGTGGTCACCGCCTCGGGCAATCATAAGTAATGTTTCCTGGCTGAAAACAAGCATGCCTTTGCCTGCAAAGTCCCCACCGGTCCAAGTAAAGTTGACCTCACCAGACTCATCTTACAAACCAACCGCATGGCCAAGAGGGGCTCCCGGCTGCTCCGGCTCTGACGGGAAGGGGTGCGTCTTCACTGAGGACCAGGGCTCCGAGGGATGACCCAGCCCTCTCGGGATAAGAAGGGCACAGCTCAAAAGGGGGTGCTCTCCCCGCTTTATGAATCACCACTTGTTGCAGGGTCATTCACCTGTGCTAATGATCCCCACTCCACCCCCAAACTGCCGCTTTGTTTGTTGACAGCAATTAATGGCTGCCTGAATGAGAAGAAAAGGGGGAGTGGTTTAGAAGGGGGCCAAGGTCGGGGAGCCAGGTCCAGGTCAGCCCTGGGAGAGAGACAGAGTCAGGAGGAAGGTCGGAAGCCACCCGGTTTCCTGGAAGGTCAAAGACCTCCCAGGAAGCCCCAGTCTTCGGGCTCCCACTTCCTCGCCTCCGTTTCTGGCCCTGGACACTGGCCTTGGTGGCCAAGGCCCTCCTGGGGTGGACAGGAGGACGTGGAAAGGGCCAAGAAGAGAATCGTCTGGGGAACTGAAGATACTTTCTCCTGCTCTGTTCTTCCAAAAGCAAAAGTAGACCCTCATCCTGCCTCCGCCCTGCCACCTTCCAGAAACCAGGGACCTGTAGTTCCAGCTCCGCACCCCCACCCACCACCACCCCGGGACCCAGGGCAACAAAGTCAAGCCTTTCTGTATCCTGGCTTCTTCATCTGAAAGGAATGTGCCCAGAAAAATGTGCTTGTGTGAAGGCAGCTCACCCCTAACCAACCGCAGCTGTCACCGGATCAATTTGATCCTTTCGGTATTTTCTGAGCTAAGCAGGGAAGTTTTGTTTTGTTTTGTTTTTTGGACACAGGGTCTGGCTGTATAGCTCCCACAGAACTCAATATGTAGCCCAGGCTGGCCTCCAGGTACTCAGTGATCCTGCCTCAGCCTGCTGGGTGCTGGGATTACAGGTGTGTACCACCACACCTGGTCAGGGAAACATTTTTATTCTCTTTCATGCAGACTAAGGATCCCTTAGGACCAAGGACCTGCCTGGCTGCAGGGCTAAGACGCTGTGGAGCTGGGCCTCAACTATAGGGCCTGTGCAGCAAGAGATGAGTGTGACCCGGCTCACACTGCTGCTGTGAAGGAAAGCCAAATTCCCTCCCCATCTAATTCCAGCTCTCGTCTCTGCCAGCAGATTATCACAGGTTTCTCTGGGCACCTTCAGCAGCTCCAATCTGCCATTTCTCATGGGGTCATTTGGACCAAGAAGTAGGCAAAGAATCTATAACCCTGGGCTAAGGCCGGCCAGGGCGAAGTTAGCCAAGGACGAGGGTCACTCAGGGGATGTATCTCATGCCACCACCTACTGAGAACAATCACATGTCACTGGGCACAGAGGAGGCAGGCTTTTAGGAGATCCATGAATTCTAATAATCCCGTTTTAGGGGTAAGAAACTCCATACGCAGAAATAGCACAGGACACAGAGCTCCTATACAGCTGGGCTGGTTCCAGGCCCAGGTTCTTAACCCCAGGCCCAGTGCTCCTCCCGTGCTGCCTGGGTGGCAGGCCAGCCGGCTGGCACTCATCCCCCACACGTGGGCACGGCCAGATCTTTTAAGGGGGAATGTGGGGTGGTGTTCACCTTTCCTGCAGGTGGCCCCCGATGCAGGTGGCCCCCTCGGAGATCACCGTGCAAGCCCAGGACAGCTCTTCCCCACCAGAGGACAGTTCTGCGAAATGTGTGCACAGGGCTTGCACTAGGGAAGAGGAAAGGCACTCACGACTTGTCTCGCCTGCCGAGCCTCCTTGGAGGGCTTGCTGGTCTCCTGCGGGGTGACAAGGATTTCCCCCGGCTTCTCACCTGGGTTGGAGAGTGGGAACTTGCAGGCTTCAAAATCTGGGGGAGATGCAAGGGGTTAGTAATGGTGCTGGTCCTCAAGGGCCCCACCTCCACGCCTTCCTACAGCACGGGGTGCTGCAAACCCCTGGCCACCACATCCCTGAGGTGCAGTGGCCAGTGGGGGACAAATTTAACAGTGTCCTGGCAAGCCCTCAGTTCTGGGCACCCTAGAATGATGGGTCACCCTGTTACAGAGACAGAACAGAGTATAAAATGCATACGATATGACTAAGATTTTAAATCTGACTTCACAGAAGGAGCTGAGGCCTAGACAGAGCTGTGACTGACACCCCTGAGTTCGGCATAGACCTGGTTTTTGAAAGATGGTCACCCCGGAGGTCCTAACAGAAGACCGACTGCAGGAATCCCACAGATACTGAAATCCGCGGATCTCCATGCAACTTACACAATCATCCCACAGACTTGAAATCATCTCTAGATCCCTAACATAACGTAATAGATCCCTAACATTACGTAATAACGTAATTGCTGTGCTTACCATTTAGGGAAAAGAGAGAAAACAGACTCAACACGTCCACCACAGATGAATTTTCCTTCCAAACACTTTCAATCCCCAGTTAGTTCACGCTGCGCACACAGAGCCGGCAGAGATGAAAGCCAACTGTAGCGCATGCAAGGGGACCTTAACCGTCTGTATGAAGTAATGTCACCTACGTCTTTTGTAATAGGAAAACAATAAGAGAACAGAGAGAGGAGAGCGAGAGCGCGTTCTTGCATGGGTCCCTGCTTGTCCTTGTACCCACCTTCATCCGCATGTCCCTGGCATATTTCTCCAGCTCCTTCCTAATGTCAGCCCTCAACATCTTTGAGACATTGAGCACCAGCTGCTTCCACTCGATGGGCTGGAAGCTGTGAGGCTCGTGGGGGACGTACAGGCCAATCTTGACCTTCTTGACCGTGTGCAGGTACTTCTTGTAGGAGTCCTCAAAGTCAAAGACAAGGTCACTCAGAGTCCGAAAAGTCAGCGGCTTGTCCATCAGCTCGGCCCTCCGGCTCATGCCCAGTGAGCCGTAGCGACCATTGCAGTATATTCCCAGCACGACGTGGTGAAAGTAATTTCCTGAGAAGTAGGTTTTAAAGCTGATGGGGAATCGCTCGACCGAAGGCTGCCCATTGGTTAAGTATCTTGCAGGTCTGAGTTAAGGAAGAGACATTAGGCCTTGGGAATCCAGAGTTCCCTAAGGACTCGTGTGTCCTTTGCAGGGAGTTTTGAGTAGCAACTACTTGGTTCATCAACAAAGCAAATGCTCCAGAGTCCCCTAAGGACTCGTGTGTCCTTTGCAGGGAGTTTTGAGTAGCAACTACTTGGTTCATCAACAAAGCAAATGCAATACAGGACATAAAGAAAAATTTGCCATCTTCCTTAGACACCACATACCGAACATTAACCTTGGAGAGGAAGAACTACTTAAGGATTTTTATTTATTTTTTTCTCAATCACATGACCAAACTGCCCAGTACGAAACAGACCAGGAGCTGATGCCCTGTGTTGGTCCTGGTGAGAAATGAAAGCCAGAATCTAGGCACTGACTGGAGACATGGAGGCAGGCTGGTGACGTGACCCAAAGGGACAGAGAGGAGTAAAGGGGTCACTGTAGTCTCCTTGGCCCTGGCGCCCTGTGCCTGTGACCTGGGCTCCCCTCTATTCCTAGCCTAAGGGCACTATGCCTTGACTCCCCCCACTCACTGGCCTGTTGGATTTAGCACCTGCCTGTCCATCACTAGCTTTTGGCCCAGCCATTCCCCAGGCATGGTGTCAAGCACCTATCCCCTCACCTCCAGGCCCCAGAAGGAAGGACACGAGGCAGGATGTCCTCTAGCACATCCTGTAATTCCACACCAGCCCGGGTCAGGCTGCTGAGATCCAGGACCCAGCTTTTCTGCACAGGGAACCCAGAAACTCAGCGTGTTGCTCCTCTGCTCAGAAGCTTCAGGGGCCCCAGACTGTTTCTAAGCTTAGCACTGACCCTGGTACTGGGCCTTGAGCTCCATGTGTGGCACAGGCAAAGGTGCAGTCCTCCCCTTTAAGGATCTGCCCCCACCATCACCAACCCCACACTGGCTCTGCAAAGCGGCCAGAATGACCCATGAAGCCCAAGCTTGGTCTACACTACTCTTCCATGCTCATCATCTCCCGGACTTCATCCAAACCCCACGTCAAAGTTGTAGGGAACAACTTGAGTGACCCTTGAGTGCAGATCAACCGCTGCAGCCCTAGTTAGATGGAGGCTTATTTCCTGGTACTGATGTGTACAGAGCTGGCTATGGTGTTTGCTCCCTTCAGCTGGCTCTGAGCAATGCAAATAAGGCCAGCTGAGTACTGATGTGGAATCCTTGAGGCCAACCCGGCTGACTCCTGTTTCCTCACAGAGCACTCTCTGTAAGGATCAAGCGCTGTGGGATGGCAGAGCCACTCAGCTCCAGGAATGTCAGCTAGGCACAGCCTCAGAGGAAGAGGCTATGAGTCCCCAGGGCACAAAAGTTTACATATTGGAAACTGAAGCAACAGCCTCCTAAAACCATTCAGATGCTACTATCCAACTGAGTTACATAGACTGAGCCTTCTGCTTGTCTTTCTCCCTGCATTTTGCAAAGATGCTTTTCTCCCTACCTGGCCAGCCAGCTCAAGTTACTCACTGTCACTCACCCTCCAGCCACCCCTTCTTCTTGAGATAATAGATTCTGGAGAGGCCTTGGGTCAGAGTCTTTGTCCAGATATCCTCACAGGGATTGAGCTTAGGACCCCTTGGCTGCCTTTAGCTTTGAATGTATCTCGAGGTTTTACTCTCGCTGTGGGTTGCACTGGAGGTGGTAGATTGGAATTAATGTGCCAGAATTCCTATAACATTTTAATGGGATTATAAATATAACTTTCCAAACTGTGGGGAAGATTAGAAAAGGAATTATAGTACTTGGATTACAATATTCAGTACTGGGATTATAATGAAAGTCCAGAACTACTCTGGCCCCACTCAGCGCTCCCCAGGAGACCCCTTCCTCATGCCTGGGCTGGCCACCAACATGCAGGACACCCTGGGCACGAGAGATCTCCATCATACAAAGTCCAACAGAAGTAAACCTGTAGGTGACCTTAAAATGACCTTCACACCATACTTCTAAACACAAAACAACCTATATCATCTTCTGTCCCTACTGCAGAAATAAACTGCGGTTCGTTCACACGTCAGCCATAAGGTGTGGAAGATTTCACCCTGGCAGGTATCTTCGGACCCCAGCAATGGAGGGGCTGGGGGCTTTGCTCTCTGCTCCCAAGTTTGTGACCTGGCCTGGGACAGCCTCACAGCTGGCTCCCCATTTCTGAGCACCATGCCTGCCTGACACCTCTCAGCCTCCCCTACAGTTCCCTCCCACCTCCCCTGGGAAGGATGCCCATGCCGCCTGGTGCTTGGTGCTTGTGCACCCTGCACTATGACTGCCCCTATCCTGGCAGGGCGGAGGCTGAGCCGGCATCCCAGTGCCTGCTGGAAAGGACTGTGTAAGGACTGTGCAAGAACCTTACCCAGGAAGCACACACTAGCTTCTGCCTGAAAGACAGCACTCAGTAGAGGGCAACCCCAGGCACCCTGAAGAGGTGGTGGCCCACACGACTAGCTGATGGTCCGGGACAGCCCCGTCCCCTGCCCTCAGCTCAGCCTGAGGAGAGGACTTCCTGAGTCCTCTCTGCCACTCTCACTGTGAAGTTCCTCAAGCCCTGAATGCAGGCTGTCTTTGGTTGCTGAAGCCAGTGTGACATATGCCTCAGTTAGTGTGGTCAGAGTCCCTGTGCCTGTGGGCTGCTGCTGTGAGACCACAGATAAAGAAAGCAAACCTCTCTGGAGTCACACTCACAACGGGCATGATGTAATCCAGCAGTAAAACAGAATTAGCGGGGCCGTGAAATTCCCTTCTGGGTATGGACTCAATTAATGGCAAACAGAGGCTTCAACAGGTTATTCACAAACATGTTCCTAACATTAATCACATCAGCTGTAAGAGAAACACCTCAACCCCATGGTCACATAAACAGATAAACAAAAGGGGCATCTCTGTAACAAGGCACGATGATGCAGTCTGTAAAAACAGGTCCCACAAGCCAGGCGTGGTGGCGCATGCTTATAACCCCAGCACTTGGGAAGCTGAGGCAGGAGGATCGCTAGGAGTTCGAGGCCAGACTAAACTACACAGTGAAACTGTCTCAAAATGAAAAAAGATCCCAAGGTGCACCACAACATGGGGGAGCCCTGAAGACATTATGCCAAGTGAAATAGGCCAGATACGAGAGGAGGGTTGACTGTACGATTCCACTTACCCGAGGTGCCGAGAGGAACCAAATTCTAGAGTGGGAAGGTGGAAGGGGCTGCCAGGGGCTGAAGGGAGGAAAGGGGAACTGTTGTTTAATGAGTGGACGGTTGCAGTAGAGAAGATGGGAAAGCTGTGGAGGTGAATGGTGGGCATGTTACATGAGACTGTGGGTATGCCACAGTCACTGAATAGGACCCTTAATAATGCTGTGAAGGTTTTACTAAAACAAAGCAAACGCCACATGATGTACGCTGTAAGAGAGACAAGCCCAGAAATCTCTGACAGGAGAGGAGGGACCTCACCTCAGCCACACCAGAAGTAGTCTCCTAGATGGGGCGGCAACAGGCAAAGCCTTGGGACCTTGGGACCCAGAGAGAGCGGGGAAGAGGAAGTCAGGTGCCAGCTGGAAGTTGGCAGGGGAGCTGTCTGAGCTTATCCAGGGAAAGGGGCAGCAGCACCCCAAACCTTTGACTCATCTGCTAGCACCCAGCCTCTGGGGACATGTAGAATCTGCCTGTCACACACACACACCCGCTACTTTAATCAACCAGTGCTTCAGCATTACAAGCAACCATCACCATGGTCTGAGAGCCCCTCCAAAATAGTTGCCACAATTCAGAAAATAATTAGGAACCAGAGACTCTTGCATCCAGCATGCATGCAAAAGTGTGTAAGTGCACTTAAGTGAGATAAAAAGGGGTCTTAGGGCCGGGGATATAGCACCTGCCTAGCAAGCGTGAGGTCGTGAGTTCGATTCCTGTATAAAAGGGGTCCTTCATGAAGAACTCCTGTGCTAAAATACAAAGAAAGAAAATGCCAGGAGGACAGGTAAATGGACCAGGTGCTTATATGGCCGACTGACCAGCTCCTAGCTGTCAAGCATCCCTTCGTCACAGGACCTGCAAAAGGGCCAGGGAGGGACAGAGGAAGGAAGGCTCAAATCAGCCTTTGCTAGCTGGACCCAGAGTGCAGACTTGGAGCAAACTGCAGACGAAGACTCTGCACCTTCTGCAGTTTAGCTTTGTGTCCCTTGTCCGAGTCCCAGAGTCAGATTTCCCCACATTCAGCAGCTCGAGCCGAATCTCTCTCTACCCTCTCCGCTGGCCTTGCACTTTTCTGAAATGTCACATGGATAAGAAAAAAGAAAAACCAAAGGAACAGCCCGCAGGCTGAAGCAGGTCCCGAGTCTCTTCCGGTCCATCTGCAAAAGTCACAGGTAATTCCTGTGACACAGTGCTTGCTGTATTCACCATGCAGGGCCACGGTGACCTGTGCCCAGGTGCACCCACATGCCCAGCAGGGGTGTCTGGGGTTAGCTTTGCCTCCCAGCCAAGGGCCCCTGCTTGTCTTCTCCCCTGATCTCAAGCAGACCCCTGGCCAATGGTTCACCCCATTAAACTTGCAAGAGGCTCTGCTGAACAGCTGTGACACCAGGAGCAGGGGGCCCTGAGCCATCTGCATGCTGACTGGGGCCAGGCCTCCTTCGAGGCTCCCCAGGAGAGCTGGGGAGGGTTTGGGAGGCTCGAGTTTCCACTTTTCCAGCGTCAGCCCAGGCACCTGTGGACAGTCCTGCTTGCAACCAAGCCAGTAACTGCTCAGCAGATGACGGTGACGCACAGGCTCTCCTTCCCTGGAAAGCGGTCAGGAGACCAGGCTGGACCAGCGCTGCCCCCTTCCGCCCACGGCCACCTCTCCTTTCCCACCCGCCTTCCTCCTTGAGTCCCTTCCTCAGCCTTTTTGTATCCAAGTGCAGAGAAGAACACTAGGGTTTCACCCTTGATCATTTTCTCCTTAGCAGCCACATCCATCCCTACACTCACAGACCCCAAACTCGTGCTCCCAGCATTGGTCCCCACTGGGATATCCACTCTCCAAACGCCAGGTCCCAAATTCCACACCGCAAATTCAACCTGTCCCCACACATCGGATCCCCCCTTTACTTCGGGAAATGTGGGGTCACTGCTCCCCCCTTTAGCACACTTCTCACTGCTGATCTGCTTCCGGCCCCTCCTGTCCCCTCACTGCTGTGACTCAGTCCAGGCTGGCATCAAAGGGAAGCGTCTGTGACCTTCCTGTCACCCTCATCCCCTGTCTCATTCTCCCCCACAGTCTCCCAATCAAGAAACCCACGTTAGTTGACCGCTTGTCGGCAGCAATATGTCTTTACTGTAATACATCTTTAAAACTTAAATATTCAACATATTCTGATCACACTGCGTACTCTTCTCAGGCTGCGCAACCAAGAGGGGGGTGGGACATGCAAGTGAGAAGGGACAGACTCTGTGTCAGCCGTGTCCATCCCCCGGGACTCACGGCCGCCACCACCTGCTCCTCTATTTTCTTAGTCCCACCTGCCCCAAATGTCTTTCCACACCGTTTTCTCCCTCTCGTCCCCCAACTTAGAATTCTCCTTGAGACGAGAGACCTGAGAGCAGGCCTCGGTGGGGGCAGCAGTCAGGACCCCAGGACTGACGCTGCCTCGAGGAGCCCAGCTCAGGTCTGGCCCAGCCCTCACCAGGGAAAGGGAAGGGAAGTATGAGGGGAGTTCAGCTGTTTCCTCCAAAGTGATGGTGGCTGGGCATCATCGCTGTGAATTTAGGGTGTCAAAGGCACAACCGGCCCCACAGCAAGGTCCCCGAAAATGCGGTAAACATAAACACACATAACTTCCAGGATACATGCCCAGGATGACGGCTTCGAGGCATTTGATTGGCAAGGACTCTCGGGTCATTTCCTTTGCTGTTTCCATTAACCTGTTGGACAGAGCACAGCAGAGCATCTCAGGAACCATTTTGATTCTGCAGTCAGTCTGTCTGTCTGTCAACCCGCCAGCTTGCATTCTCTACATCAGGCACCACATGGGGACACAGGGAAGCCCCCAGAGCACAGCTGCACCGAGCAGAACCGAGTTCCCATGTCCCCCACTCCCTGCCCTCCCTGAGAGTCAGTGCCCACAGGTTAGGGCCACATCCCACAGCATCCTCCCACGACCGATGACTCTTCACACCTAGGCGGCTGCCTCGCCGACTCTGTCCTCGACCTCCGCTCCCTGCATTCCAGGGATGTGGGTGCTGAGACTCGGGGAGCAGAGGCTGGAAGAGCCAGAGATTTCCAGTTCATAACTCATGCACCACTTACCCGCTCAGCGGTCTCATCTTCCTAATTTCAAAGAACTGGGTCCCTGTGTGATTATATCTGCGTGAAGTACGTAAAGGGAAAGTGACAGAAAACTCCAAATGTCCCAGTCATCTGGCAGAGGAAAACAGGCACCCTGATTTCTCAATGGGATTAGAAGATAGGGCTGCTTTGCAGAAGCGGCCCATGCCTTAGAAGGTAGTTGACAGCCTCTAATTCCTCACCGCTCTGCCCTGGAAATCTAATTCTTAGGCCCCAAAGCAGCTCAAACGTTTGGACAGCTCCTCTTAATCTGCTCTGTATTCTGGCTCATTGAATAGATGGTCTTATTTACCTAGTAGACTGCAAGTTCTTTGAGAGTTGGAGGCATTTTTAAAAAATCACTTTTATGGCACTCCTAACGCTTGGCAAGTTAGCAAATATTATTAAATAAGTGAGAAGTGAATGAATGGATGGGTGGATAGATGGATAGCTAAATGGGGGAATGGATACACAGATGGGAGGCTGGTGGGACAGCGAGCTGAGCAGAGGGAGGGACGGACAGAAAGGACTGATAGAGATGGATGGAAGGCAGGACGGTTGAATGAGTGGTACACAGTTTGCCAGCATACGAGTGCAGCAGAATTGACCTTCTTTCCATGACAGCACTGGACGCTGGTCACTAAACCTGAAAAGACAGCACTGTTATCCATGTTTTGAATTTAACTGACTGCCCAGGAGGTCACAGGAATGGCAAGCCTGCTGCAGGTCACTCTGGAAGAGACCAGAGACTCTCTGAGGCCCTGCTCTCTGAGACTGGCTCTTGATTTTTCTCAGCCTAGAGAAAAGCTGCTTTGTGTATTTTGTGCTTACAAAATTGTATTTTTAAAAAGCACAAGCTGGGAGGACCTAATGAGGTATGAATTTGAAGCGGCTTGGAACCGCCTCAAGCCCAGGCAGCTCAGGCCTAGGCAGGCATCTGGGATGCGCGGTGTGCGCTACACTCAAAGAGCAGCTATGTGGAGACACTCCACACCCCACTGAGAGGGTCTCCTCAGATGTGCTTGGCTCTGCAGACTTGGGGACACCTAACAAACATTTATAGAGCTCACAAGCAGATTCTAGGCACCACCCCTGCAGCCTCAGGTTTCGGGCCGTGGATCCTGAGTTCTGGGGTGAGGACCACAGGCTGACCGTAACAAGCTCACCAGCTTGGGAGTTAACACTGTAGTAATCCCTCACGGTACAAATGCCTCAAACTCCTGAGATCCACCCTACAAAACCTTAAGAGTTAAAAGAGGAAAACAAAGCCGGGTATAGTGGTGCACACCTGTAACCCCAGCACTCGGGAGGCTGAGGCCACCCAGCCACCAGACGCCCGTCCCTGCCCCCGGCTGGAAGGATACTGCAGCGTCTTCATGTAATTCTGGATCGCTTGGAGCCAGTCTGGGATCGTCATGGAAAGCCTGTAGTTTGGAACCTGGGGTATTGAAGGCTGTAGGAAAACAGAGACAGGGGTCTGTTCATCCAGGAGGCCAGCGCAGGGCTGTCATCCCCCAAGAGCAGAAGGCCACCCTGGCACAGCCATCTGTCCTTGCAATGCCTCCCTGGAGCGGCCTGGCCATCACCGAGCTTCCCCTCTGGAGCGCTCTCTGCACAGGTGCCTGTCCCCAGCTCCTCTGGACCCTGAGCCCTGCTGGGCATCCTGTCAAAGCTCCTTCTTCACCTGTCTCTTGCCCTAATCAACAAGTGTCCACCACGGATTGTGCAGACTCCGTTCCCACATAGAGGATGAAGGACCCTAGACAGATGGGCCCTGGGAAGGGAGAGAGGGCGCCTCTTCCCAGAATTTAGGACTCCGACTCCTCTTCCATTCTGAGCAACCCCACCTGGCGTGGTAGGCAAGAGTAAGATAAGCAGGGGCCATTGATCAGGCCACTCCGGGGAAGCAAGGGACACCAGCCAGGCTTGGGTTTGTTGTCTGTACACGGGGCTTTCCGGCTGGCTGCTTTGGTCTGGTTTTGATTTATTCCCCGTCGCCCCCATGTTTCTGACTCTCCTGACTTCGGTCTGTCTGGTGGTGTGCAGTGGGCTGGGGTCACTGGTGACTGAGATACTCAGTTCCCCTGGGCCCAGAAGGAGGGAGGAGGCTCCTCAGGGTTGGGCTCTTAGGGAGCCGCAAAAGAGGCTAAAGGGAAGATTAGCTCAGCCTTGGGAGAGACAGGGAGGGCAGCCCTGGGGATTGGGGCTTAGCAGGCAGAAGAGGAAGCCGCTGATAAACAGGCTCTGGAGCCCTGGGCTGGGGGCTGCTCCAGCGACCCTCCTGACGCCCTCCTCCCTGCCTGCCAGGCATCAGCTCTGCAGAAAGCAGGAGCCCAGCTGTCCCCAAGCTGCCCCTGGCCCAGGGAAGGGATGCCGGGCTCCCTCCCAATCCCCCAGTTCACTCCCTCACTCCCCCACTTCACCATGGCACTCCAATGCTCCTTCCCTCTCCTGGTCCCTTCAGTCTTTCTTGGCTCTGAGACCCCAGCATCCCAGCAGCTGCCCCCTCAGCTGCAGGAAACCAGTCACACTTCCTACACGAGAGCCAAAGTATGCGTGTGTGAAAGTGTGCACAGCTATGTGGGCAGACACAACCGCTCTGTGGGCTGTGTTTTCTATACAACACCTCCACTTGTATAAATCACATTCCTGTCTGGGAAAGTCATTCGTGGGCGTGAAACATTCCAGTTTAAACACACACACACACACACACACACTCTCTCTCTCTCTCTCTCTCTCTCTCTCTCTCAATCACAATAAAAGGCTCGCAGGGCACGGTGGAATGTGCATGCCTGGGATCCCAGCTATTTGGGAGGCTGAGACAGGAGGATCATGTGAGCTTAAGAGTTCTGGGACAGCCTGGGTGAAATGGTGAAATTCTCTCAAAAACAAAACCAGGAACCCTTGCGTGTCTGCTCAGCAATGCTAGCCTGGGAACGACCTTTCCTGGGTCAGGGTCCCTAGGGGCCCTGACCACCACATCCTTTCAACTTTCCTCAGTTCTCTGAGCCCACAGAGCAGCACTCGGTGGGGGCAGGGGGAGCAGGCAGCAGCTGGGGCTCAGAATAGCAGCCCAGTGGCGCCCAAAGGCTTTGGAAAACAGCTGCACAGTTACCTCAGCCAGGCTGTGTGGGAAGCTGGGGAGCATTTGCTCTAAGCAGGGAGGACAGATGGATGCAGGTTCCAAACCCCAGCTGGAAGCCGGGCTGGGTGGAAAGGACCTGATGCCAGGGGTGATGGCATCAGTGCCACCTGCCCCGGCCACTGGCAGAGCTGGCAGGGGCTCTGGCAGGAGACAGCTCCCAACCAGTCCCATAGGACGCCTGGCTCCCCCAGGCTTTTGGAGGAGACCCCGCCCCTCCAGTTCTGTGGGCTCCAGGTTCAAAGCCTGCTCCATTACCCTCCTGGCCTCCTCCTCCTCCTCCTCCTCCTCCTCCTCCTCCTCCTCCTCCTGATGAAAAGTCTGCTGCCAAGGGCATCCGCAGAGCAGGGCCTGGGGCTTGCTGCCCCTTGGGTTCGAGCTGTGTTAATTATCAACAGTGACACGTCACTGGCACAGAGTTGAGAGAGGCCCATGCTGCATATATCAATCAGAAACACCCCAGCCTGAAAATGCCACCTCACCCTAAGGAGCATGAAAATGTCAACTGTCCCATGCAAACAGTGAGTTAATACCTTTAATTCATGAAGAGGCTACACAAAGTGATAATTCGCAAGCCTCAATTTTAAAAGTGGCCCGCAAAAGTGGAATCTATTCAAGCAAGGAATAAACAAAGAATGGTATATCCATTCAATGGAACATTAGCCACTCTTTAAAAAGGACAATTTGGCACATGCTTGAAGATGGATGAACTTTGAAGACATTTAGCTAAGTGAACTAAACCAGTCACAAAAGGGCAACTATCCTATAATTCTTCTTATGAGAGTCTTCTCAAATTGTCAGACTCAAAGAGACACAGAAGAGAGTGGTCACCAGGGGTGGGGTGGGGCACTGGTATTTAACGTACACAAGTTTCAGCAGGAGATGGAAGAATTTTGGAAAGGCACCATGGTGACAGAGGCACGGTATGACCCTTAAGGGGGGCCTAGAATAGCAGATTGTACATATATCTTACCCCAATAAAAAGGTCACAAAAAGGCAACTCCCAAAAGAAGAAATACAGATAGTGAATAAATATTTGAAATTAATATTCAACAAAATTCAAACTCACTAATGATTTACAGGGTACAAATTGAAGCTAATGAAAAGCAACATGTGGCAGCGCAAAGCTGTAATCCCAGCACTCTGGGAGGCTGAGGCAGGAGGATTGCAAGTGCAAGAAGAGGGCTTGGGACACAGCTCAACGTGAAGGCCCTGGGCTCGATCACCAGCACCATCACCACCAAATAAATAAATACATAAAATTTTAAAATTCACTGAAAAATGTCACTTTCTACCTCTCTGGTTAGCAGACATTCTGAAACCTACGTGCCCCGTACTGTCGAGGGTGCTTAAGTATAGCTCTGATATGACCTAACTGGGTGTGACCTTTCGAGGAAAAGCTCTGGACCCACCCTTTCTCGGCTCCTGACCATGGCTCTGCGCTGCCTCCTGCCTGGAATTCAAACCTGGACACCTCACTTCCTGTCACCAACCAAGTCCTGCCCGACCAGGGCAGAATCTAGAGAAAATGGAGCAGAACTGGCTGTTGCTTGCCGACCAGGGTGGGGCCGGGCAGCCCAAGCGGGAAGACGATGAGGTCAAAGAGGACCATCCTGGCCCCTGGTCCACTTTGCTCTTCCCAAGCATGAGTGACCTGTCAGAGGACATGAAGGACGAGGAGGCAGCAAGCAGCCAAGTGCCAGGTGACTTTGACAAGAACGAGGAGACTGCTGCTCTGTGTCCAGGCGCCAGGCACCACCCTCTTCCCGGGAGGAGCACTGGGTCAGTACCTGAGGGCTCAGGATGGGTCCTGCCTCCTGCCCTGGGGCAGCCAGGGTTCTGCTGAGATTGGTACAGAAGTCTAGTCATGGCCATCTGTGGAACAGGATGGACAGACAGGCCAGTGGACAGATACCCCAGGGCAGTGGGCCTCAAGGTGCAGGTGATCCAACCTCCTGCTGCAGCGAGGCCTGAACTCCCAAGCATTGCACGTTTCTTATCTCTCTTTATCCTTTATTCCTTCCCTCCTTCCCTCCTTCCTTCCTTCCTTCTTCCTTCTTCCCCCTCCTCTCTTTTTTCAGCACTGAGGATTGAATTCACGGCCTTTACCTGAGCTACACCCCCAGCCCTGTTTTTAATTTTGAGGTAGAAGCTCACTAAGTGGCTAAGCTGTCCGGGTGGGGCTTGACTCGCCACCATCCTGCTTCAGCCTCGCAGAGTGTTGGGATGACGGGCGTGCACCGCACACCTAGCACACCCACACCTCTCTACACTCTCACTTGGACAAAGCTCAGACCCCTAAAGGTGAATTCTCTCCCACTGTGGAATCAATGAGAGAAAGGCACAAACCTGCAAGGGCCGCAGGAAGCCAGGTGTTTCCTGCTGAATCCACCGAGTTTCAGGCCATGCTGTCTCCAGTGGGCGAAACAGAAGTGTTTTCTTCTCCATCCACCGGCCATGCTCAGCCCCTCCCTTTCCATGCTGTCAGCTTCCCAAGATGCTTGCTATTTTCTTTCTTTCCTTGTTTTTTTTTTCTTTTGGTACTGCGGATCGAACTCATGATTTTGCCCTTGCCAGGCAGGCACTTAGGCCACTGAGGTGAATCCCTGATCCTCTTGCCATTTCTTAAACAATCCCTGAAAAGGCCTGAACTTGGGCGCCGCGCCCGCACCCCGCACCCCGCCGCCCGCCGCCCGCCGCCCGCCGCCCCGGAGAAGGCCCAGTCGGCCTGAGCCGCAGCCCGGAGCCCCAGCCAGCCCAGGGCCCCGCCATGGAGACCCGCTACAACCTGAAGAGCCCGGCTGTTAAACGTTTAATGAAAGAAGCAGCAGAATTGAAAGATCCAACAGATCATTACCATGCGCAGCCTTTAGAGGATAATCTTTTTGAATGGCACTTCACAGTAAGAGGGCCCCCAGATTCTGATTTTGATGGAGGAGTTTATCATGGACGAATAGTACTGCCACCAGAGTATCCGATGAAACCACCAAGCATTATTCTCCTAACAGCTAATGGACGATTTGAAGTCGGCAAGAAAATCTGTTTGAGCATCTCAGGACATCATCCTGAAACTTGGCAGCCTTCCTGGAGTATAAGGACAGCGTTACTAGCCATCATTGGGTTTATGCCAACAAAAGGAGAGGGAGCCATAGGTTCTCTTGATTACACACCTGAAGAAAGAAGAGCACTTGCCAAAAAATCACAAGATTTCTGTTGTGAAGGCTGTGGCTCTGCCATGAAGGATGTCCTGTTGCCTTTAAAATCAGGAAGCGACTCAAGCCAGGCTGACCAAGAAGCCAAGGAACTTGCAAGACAAATCAGTTTTAAGGCAGAAGTCAATTCATCTGGAAAGAGTATTGCTGAGTCAGAGTTAAACCACTCTTTTTCACTAAATGACTTACAAGATAACATACCTACAACATTCCAGGATACCACGGCCAGCACCTCGTATGGAGTCCAGAATCCCTCAGCAGCACCCTTTGAACAACCTACCCAACCTGCAGCTAAGAATACCTCCATGAGCCCTCGACAGCGCCGGGCCCAACAGCAGAGTCAAAGAAGGTCATCCCTGTCACCAGATGTAATACAGGGCCAGCAGCCAAGGGACAACCATACGGATCATGGTGGATCAGCTGTACTGATTGTCATCCTGACTTTGGCATTGGCAGCTCTTATATTCCGACGAATATATATGGCCAATGAATACATATTTGACTTTGAGTTATAATATTATTGTTTTGTGAATTAAGAGCTGTGACTCAGCTGCTTCATTAAACATTCTGCATTGGGTATAATCTAAAAAAAAAAAAAGAAAAGGCCTGAACTTGACAAGCTGAGTGCTAACTTCAGTCTCAGAAACACAAGGCCTAAAGTCACAGATTTGGGAGCAGAGGAAACCTCCTGTCCCCAGCCCAGGAGAGATATCTGGGCCTTTAGGCCAAACCTACCAGGGGCACTAAAGTCCTGTCCTCCCAGACCCTTGAAACCTTCCCTATGCCTTTTTTGGTGGGAGGGGAGAGGCGTCTTTTTGAAATAGATTTTCACCGTGCAGCTCAGACTGGCCTTGAGTTCACAGCAATGATCCCACCTCAGCCTCCCAAGTGCAGTAGGTGTGTGGCACTGTGGATCATGAGCAGCCTCTGAGATGATGGGAAAGGGGATAAGGCAGAGCTCCTGCTCTGAGTTCGCAAGGTGACTTGGGCTGTGGAGTCCCGCAAAGAAGGTGTTTACGTGACCTTCGAGCCACTGGGAGAACAGTATGCAGAGGCTGCTGTCCTGAAGAGGGACACGGCACTCTGCTCCAGGAAACTCAGCAAGGAGAGATCTAAGTTCTGAATCACTCAGACAACACCAAGATCACTGCGTTTCAGAGGTGTGTGTTTTAGGGGACTGACTGATGACAAAGTGGCAACTGTCCTAGAAAAGATAAAAGGCACCCCCATGGACAGAGAAGACTGACAGAATGTCCCAGTGATCAGCATGAGACCCAGAGACTCATGGGTCAGAGCAGCATGGGATTTTACAGTGGGAACCAACCCTGCACCAATGTTGGTCCAGTCCCATTTTATAAAGAAAAGGATGGCTGGAGATCTGGGGTAACCTGGCCACAAAGCTCCAGAGGGCACACAAGCAGGGCTAGAATTCAGTCACGCTGTTGCTCCTTTAAGTCCTTTCTGCCTTAAGGACACTATCTGGTGGCACACAAGGTGTCTGTGAGGAGCAAAGACAGGATAGATGCGTGTTCCGACTCAAAGGCCAGAGGGAACTGGTGGTGACCTGTGGCTGCGGGGTGGGGAGGAGGCTTCGGGTTTGGTCTAAGGAAAGCACTTCCCCAGCTCGGATCTGGGATCTGGTGCGGCCTGGTGTCACCTGTGCCGGTCCTTCCTGTGCCTGTCCCTCCAGCAGAGAGCCCCCCAATTCCCAAGCCTTCAGAAAGAGGCCAGGCTGCGGGAGACCGTCTGACCAACACTGAGTCCAAGATTCTCAAACAGAGCACGGGGTCCCCTGCACAAGGGTGCAATCAGGCTGGAGAGAGGCCAAAAGGCAGTAGGGAGCCACTCACCAGGCCTCTGTCCCCTGCTGCCACCTCTACACAATGTAAGGACCCTGACTCCTTGTGTAAATAAAGACTCTGCAGCCCTGAAACAGGGGGGTTGGTGTTGCAGGTCCGGGAACAGGTAATTAAGGCTGACACTCAAGGGGACAGGCTTCTGGCTAGGGCTTAATGATGCCCTCCGTGGCCAGCAGGGTAATGAATCCCTGTAAGTGAGCAGCAGGAAGCTGACAGAGGCTCTGTCGCTTCCCCAAGGGTACACAGCCTTGAAGCCTGCGAGCTCAGCTGCTCAGCTGTCACCAGGCTGGGGATTCAACCAGATGGCTTTCTGGGCCTCAGGTGTGGCATTCCTAGACCTGCTTAGGAATCTCTCGAGCCATGCCAGTGAAGCCAGGGCCCTGGGGACATCATCATGCCACCATGCTGTCTCCCGGCTCAACAGCTTGGCTCCCCAGAGTGCACCCTGATATTTTATGTAAGGCAGCTACTCCCACCAGGGGCCACATCCCTCACAGTAACACATCCTCTGTGGCCAGGCCCAACCAGCCTGCTGGCTCCTCCCCAAGGTAAAAAGAGAGCTTGGCTCCCAAGCCTCCTCTTTCATCCAGGGACCAATTCATCATGCATACTGGAAAGTCCCTCATAAGCCACAGCCAAACTTCCTCCCCCCACCCCTTGGAGCCCAGATAAGCTGGGAAGTGACAGTTCACTGTTTTTGCAAGTTTCAGAGGTGAAAGTCACTGCCGGGAAGAAAAAAAAAAATTGGCAAAAAGTCTAGAAATGATTCACACTGAGAAGTCTGACTGGTTGATTGCAAATTCATTCACAGCTTCATAAATCACTTTCTAAGGGGTCTGGGGGAGGAGCAAGAGATTCTAAAGAGGACAAGCAGGGCGGGATCCTTGGGGGTCCTCCACCCATTCTTTAGCTTGGCAGTGTGACCTGGTGGTTCTGGCTTTCACAAGAGAAGGGGAGCTGAGAAAAGTGTGGCATGACCTGAGCATATGGGGTGCAGAGCATCAGGCCTCCTACCTGCCCCACCCCCACTTCCACGGCTTCCAAAGCAAACTGCGTGAAGGAGGGAGAGAGGGGCAGCTGCTGAGGTCGCCCCACCGCCTGGCTCTCCTGGAAGCACTGACCTTTGCCAGGAAGGCCGCGTTCCTGATGGCCCCCACCATCTCTCCGCCCTTCGGGTGCACCTTGGCCACGTGCATCCACATGCGCTCCCAGGTGTGGCTGTCCATGGGGAAGCCGCTCTTGTTCACGTGAAACAGCACCCCACCGTCTTTGTCCTCCTCCTCGGAGCCCCCGCTGGTGGCAAGGCTCACTGGCCGTGCGTGGCTGCTCCGGGACCGGGTGCCTTTGGCACCTTTGGCGTGGGGGCAGCGGTGAGTGTCGGCCGCCGAGCCGGTCATGGTGGGGCGTGGGTGAGCGGCAGAGGTGCGGGGCCAGGGCGCAAGGATCAGCGCCCGGCACGCGTGGCCTTCTCCATGCCGCTGGTGCCGCAGGACGCACCGAGAAGGAGCGCGGCCAGGCTCCCGCTCACGGCCCGGGCCTGGAAGCAGAGAGAAAACAGAGGCGGCGCTGAACGGACGTGTAGGGGTGCGAGTGGAGGCCCCGGGTGTCCCCGCGTCACCCCCCCCCCATCCTCGAAGGGGGACGGATCCCCTCAGCCCAAACCCCGCACGCGGAGGACCTGAACCCCAGCTTCCAGCCTTGCGATCGCCTGAAAAGGCGGCTCGGAATTTGAAACCAGGCTTCACACCCACCTAAGCCCGAGTCGGGGATGCGAGGCGCGAAGGGGATCCGTAGTGGACCGTGTGGGCAGAAGAAAGACAGCTCCTGTGGCGTGGAGGAATAGGAGGTTCCCGCAGAGCTCCACACGGTCCTCGGTCCCCAGATGTGGTCAGGGCACAAGCCGAGCTCAGAACGCACCGGCACGTGAGCACCCGGGGCTGGAGCGGGCGCTGCAGCAGCCTCGGCTTGCAAAGGAGGCGCGGTTTCTTCCAGAAAGCACCCCCGCCCCAGATCTTGGCATGCGAAGGGGCGGCCCCAGCACCGGGGAAGGAGACCCTCGCCCCTTTCTCTGGAGTCCCAGCCTCGGGCATCAGAGGGGAGCGGGACACGTGCGGGGTGGAGGACCCACCTGGGGGCAGCGCGCTTCATTGCGGCCGAGCCTCTTCGGGGGTTGCGGGCCGCGCGGGCCGCTGCTGCCCGGCCCTGGGCTGTCACTGCTGGGGCTGCGGCGGGCGTCCCCTCATTCCAAGTCCCATTCTCGAATGTTATTCTGTGACATATAACCGAGTCACCCGGGCAGCCGCCGATGTTCCGAAGATGCTCATTGGCCGCCGCAACAAAGAGGGGCGGGGCCCAGGCTTGGGACTCCGCCTCTCCGAGCTCCACCGCTCTCTGATTGGCTCCAGGCTCCTCGGGCGGGAGGGTACCGACGGTAGTAGGGAAGCTCGGCGGCCAAGAGAAATCCGATCGCGGTCGCGCCCCGGCAGCCCGGCGGGGCCGCAGAGGTTGTCTGTGAGTCTGAAGATCCAATTTCCCCAGGGATCGTGGCCTGGGGAGGGTTTGCATCTTTGGGAAGCAGAAGAGAAGCAAAGCCATTCTAGAGAGACCTAGAGGCAAAGAAGGGCTGGACATGTCGCCTGTCCCTGTTAGGGATGACGGAGAGTTCGGAGAGGTTCTGGTTCGTATGTGTGTGAAAAATTGAGTATGTTTTTAAAATTCTACACGTCACCCCAGATTAACAAGTGGGCACAGCCTTGGACCCTCTGTGGTTAGTCATGGCTAATGGAGTCTCAATAAGCCCAAGCGGCCGTGCAGCTCTGAAGTCAGAAGGTGAGACAGGCCCTGCTCTGCTCCAACTGCTCCGTTAGAGGAGGGAACAGAGAGGCTACACAGTCACAATGGAGTGGGCCACCTCCCACACTGCCCACTGGCTTGCCTTTGCCCTAAAGGTGAAGTCTTTTTAAGAAAGAGAAGGGTGAGGAGAGGTGGAAAAGCACTACTTACCTGCAGGCAGATTCTTTTGCTGAGGAGGTTGGCACTGAACAAGCCATTTCTCTGTGCTTGGTCTTAGCTTCTCTTTCCTAAGACAGCAGACTCCACACCCTGGCAGTGCTGGTTTGCAGGATCTGTGATTCCCCAACTTGCTTCCCATGGACATTTGGAAACCTGGCTAAAGCCTTCTGCACCAGGCCAGTGTGCCAGCTTCTCGAGGACCAGACAGCTGTGACAGCAGCGAGTTAAGCCTTTCAGAGCACCCTTGGGAAGGAGCACCCAGAGAGTGGCTTCTGGATGCTTAGCCCCTCCAAGGCCTGAAAAGCATAAGAAGTGATCCTTGGGTGGGCACCAGAGGCCCCGTATCTGCGGAGGCCCCAGGCACAGCTAAGAGCCAGGACTCAGGGTAGGAGACCTGGGTTCAGGACTCAGCCCTGGCTGGCACTGCTCAATCGCTCAGAGCCCAGTCAGCAGCGAGAGCAGCAACTTGGGTCCATAGAGACAGGGAGGCTGGCAGTTTGTGCAACTCTAACTAATTCAAGTGGGGTAAGCACACTTGGGAGAAAAGTCTGGAAACTGCAAGAAAAATTTCCTTTCACAATATAATTACTTTAGTTTTCACATTTTGAGTAGAAGAAAACATGCCTCAGAGAGTGACCTGTTTCTCATTTTGAATATTCTCCTTCCATTTTTTTTTTTTTCATTCATCTCCAAATCTAGCTACTCCCTGAAACCTCCCTTGGAGTTCCCCATCCAGGAGGGGATTTCAAGATGAGGTAGATGGGAATGTGGCCTGACAATCAAATAGCACAGTAGTGAATGTGGAAGAATGTTAAGGGTCACCCTCCTGTGCTCACTCCCTGGTTCCCAGGCAGGCCAAGTGCAAATAACTTTGATGACCTTGTTTAAACCTGCACTGCAGTCCCACTTCACCTGCATGAAAGGGTGTTCCTATTCTTAATATCTCACAGGAGCATATCTGTCCAGGTTACTGGCAGAGGCTGTTGCTCAGAGTATCCCAGTCAAGGAAGGAGAGCTTTGGTTGTTCATTTCCAGTATTCCTTTCATCCTTTTTCTCCTTTCCCAGGAGTGGGACAGGCAGAGAACCAAGTGATAAGGCATATGATGGCAGTTGTGAGACTTGGCTATGCTTCCAAAGAAGTGCTGTGAAGGCCTCTGAAGTGGACTGAAGTCCCGGGCAGACACTGGACTCAGGAGTCTTGCTCAGAATTCCTTTGCACTTGAATGTTGCCCAGGGTTGCATGGACCAGCCAACACAGTTTGTCCTTTCTGTGTGTATTCTGTGTTACCTGACCCTGGTGTCAGCCCAGGTCATAATAAATGTTAGAGGTTTTGAAAGATCAATGGTAAGAGCGACATAGTCATAGATATGCACAGTGGGACAAGGCCAGTGATCGATTTGAACAAGGACATGTGGTGACAGGATGCTCAGCCTCTGAGAGCATAGTGCTGTCTTTCCTTGCCATTGTGACCAGCATAGCTGAGAAGGGTGGTGGAAAGTTTTGAAATGAAATGAGCTGGGTTCAAACAGTATCTCATTATTCACGTGTCAAGTGCTGGAATCCAATGATAAATGACAACATCTGACCCCCGATGGATCCTATTTCCAGCTCCACCATTTGTTGACGGCACAATTTGGGGAAGTTACTTAATGTCTTTGAGCCTTGTTTTTGGAGCAGTCTAAAACTGCTCGAGAGGAATGTGAAGATCCAGAGAGGGCAGCTATGTGACAACACACTCGAAGAACCCCATCTGTGTTACCCAGGGCTTCCTCTGACGCTGAGACCATTCCAGTCAGATTCAGAGACTCCCTGTTCCCAAAGCAGAAAGACCGAGAAATGGCTTCAGTTGTCCAGAGAGAGAGAGACATATTTCAATCATGGCATGAGTGTGTGGAGGGGAAAAGAAGCTGGCGGGGAGCAAGAGGAGAGGTGGGTACAGGGGACTGGCAGAGTCTCTGCCTCCTTTGCCAGCACCAAGGGAGACCCAGCCGGTTATGGGTGGGCAGCAAGCCTGTGTCCCTCCCCGAAGTTCATCTGCTGAAGTCCTAACCCTAATAGTACCTCAGACCGTGACCTGACTTAGAAATACTACCACACATGCGTAATTCATTCAGGTCAGTTCAAAGTGGCTGAGGTCACAGAGAGTCATCCTGTGGAGATGAGCACTGTCTTGGTTACTTTTGTTATGGTTGACACATTGTGTCAGTGTGAGAAGTCTAGAAGCTTAACTCAGGGACTCAGGAGCTCTGCATCTTGGATGGTAGAGGACAAGCCCTTCAGGGTCTAGGATGTTGATTGTGTCAATCTGAGATGGACAGGAGTTTAACTAGGTGATTCAGCAGGGCGTCAGGGTCCCTAGAGGAGGGCAGGCAGATGCTGTGAGAGCTACACCACCCAGAGCAGCCTGCATACAATGAAAGGCAAATGAGGAGGGCCCCATGGCTGCTGCTTCACAGGAGCCCCAGCCTTCGCCTCCAGCTTGGACCTCATCTCCTGGCTTCTGGCACAGACTGTTGGGCTTCTGCCTGGGACTCCTCAGCCTCTGTCACAGACTCTTTAGCCTTCGTCGTAGACTCTTCAATGTTCCATCACAGACCCATCGCCCCTGATATAGACTTGCACTGCACACTGCAGTGAGCTCCGGGCCTTGGGCTGGACCCTGCAGCCTCCCATGCACGGACACCCTCTGCACGCTCCCTCACCCGACTCGGTGGCTGACCACTGTGAGCCAACGTTGTAGTTTCTTATATATTTGTATATCTTGTAAACCCTGACTGATACAAGCACCAAGGAACTCACGGAAACCAGGAGAAAGGCTTGAACCAGATCTGTCCCTAGAGCCTTCAAAAGGAGCTCGGCCCTGCTGATGCCTTGATCTCAGACTCCAGCCTCCAGCAGCGTGAGCTGGTACATCTTTCTGTCTGCAGCGCTCAGCTGGTGGCACTTTGTTCAGAGAACTCTGGCCAACTGGACACACTCCAGATCGGGGGTCAGGTCCCTGGAGTCAGCTGGTGCTGTTGGGAAGTAGACACCTTAAGAGTGGGGCCAAGGAGGGTGTTAAAGTCATTGGGGGTAGCCTTAAGGGGGCTGTGGTGCCCTGGCATCCTCTTTTGTTCTATTGGGCTCCCTGGCCACCAGGGAAGTGGTTTTGCTCTGCCCTGTGTACTTGCTGAGATGTGCTGGCCTCCCCCAGAGGCCCACAAGCAACAAAGCTGCCCAATCATGGACTCTAGCCTCCAAAACTGCAAGCCAAATAAACCTTTTCTCGTTGAAAATCGACAAATGCTATTGTCTATTGGAGCTTCAGTTCTCAGTGGACCTAGGCATTTATAAAAGGCTCCTCCGAGGCTTCAGTTTCCACATCCAGTGTGTGCTATACAGAGTGGCCGGGAAAACTCAGGTTAGAAAGCAAAACTCTAGGGCCGTCAGGTTGTAACACCCACCCATAGTGGGCTGGGGACGGCTGAGGTCCTTTTCTGGACCCAGGCTGGCTGGGAAGCCTGAAGAGCTCAGGCAAACAGAACTCACGGTGAAATATTACCAACTCATGCCAAGCATGGTGGCCCATACCTGAAGTCCCAGCACTCACAAGTTTGAGCTCAGCCTGGGCAATTTGGTGATTTAGGAAGACCCTGTCCCCTTCTTTGTGCCAATTCATCCCAGAATCGAATCAAACCAACAAAACCCCAAGTCACGGGGAGGCAAGCCACCAAAACCATGAGTGAGCATAAACAACCAGCACTAAACCCTGAAAGACTTCACAGACAGCAATAAGATGCAGAATAGCAAAAGTGTTTTTGTTTAAAATTTTGACCGAAATGAAAAAGAAATATATCAAAAACACAAGTGGCACACCAGAGAAAAATTAAAATCTACCAGATCTGAGAAAGAACCAACTAGAACTAATATGAAAAGGGCAGTCATTGCAAGTGAAAGCCTAGGAGGCGGTATGGAAGTCAGGATGGCCTAATTGCAGAAGGATCCAACAAGATTTTTGTTTCTTTGCTTCCACTGCAGGTTGAGGGAGCTGGTGGGGCAGATTTCTCTATTAGTCATTTGGAGACTCGGTCGGACTGAGGTGCTGACATTTTTAGCACCTGGCTTTT